TCCAAAACACCAAACAACCCAATTAAAAAGTGGGGTAAAGAACTAAACATACAATTCTCAATAGAGGTATCTAAAATGGCTAAAAGACACATAAGAAAGTGTTCAACATCCTTAGCCATCAGGGAAATGCAAATCAAAACAACTCTGAGATACCATCTTAACGAATTCTTTCATCTATGTTTTCTGTAGTTGGAAGTTGGTTAGATCTTCTTACAGGCATGTTGAATATGGAGCAGTGTGTAGGTTAGTGAGCACGTTTGCCCTGATCACTGCCACTATCGTTTATTAACCGGTCTATCCCTGTAAAGAGATCCCCCCCCCCCATTAACAACTACTTTGAACACCCAGATTTGGAATTGTGACAGTAAGAAAGTCTAATAAGCAGTATAGCCTAAAAATATTTTTAAAATTTAAAGAAAGCATGTCACAAATGTATAAGATATATGCAGACAGTAGTCTAAACAATTCTTACTATTTCCTATCATAAAGCACAAACCTATTAGAAAAGTAAAATGTGTCAGGACTTACCTGGTAGTCCATAACTGTAGGCAGCACCATTCACAGTAGAGAGATGTGAACAAGCACCAAGAGGGCCGCAGTAAATGCACGGGCTGCATTGTGGTCATTTTGAAGCCACTTCTGTTGCTGTGGTAACAAGTGCTGAGAGTACCTGCTTAAAACTGTGACACGGTCATCATATGATCAGTCATCTCTCCAGTACACCACTTGTCACAGTGAAAAGAAATCTTTCAGCTGCTGGCTTACAGAATGGGTTAAAGTCAGGTTAGACAAATTAGTGAGAACTTTCTCAAAATAAAAAGCAAGATGATAGGTGGGAAATAACTCACAACTAAAAGCCTTGTTTGTAGCTTCGTGAGAACCTGTGTTCAAGCTCCAGTAGTGCAAAAGGGGGAAGAAAAAAAACCACTTTTCACGCTTCTTACATGTTTTGAAATGCATACTACATTACAACATACAACGTATGTGTCAAGCAGGTCACTGGTGTGGCTTCAGGTCAGCAGCAGGCTCTTAGTACTTAAGTTTTGGAGTCACATGATACAGATGGATGCTTTATTTTCCCTGAAATGTGGTGGTAGGGAGACACCTCTAATCCCTGAACTGCTTGTTAGTCAAGCCATGTCTGGTTAATCTGAAGCAGCTGCTATTAGAAAAGGTGAAATAAGTTCTAGACCATTTGTCTGTAGCTGGGAGTTTTTGACATGATGTATTGTGAACCCAGCATCTTCCAAAGGTAACTGATAAACTGCCCTTTAAAAAATTCTTATACTAAGTACATGGATTTAGATTTATATGCATTTGATATTTTTTAAGTCTTTTTAAAAAAGCCTTTTGCTATTTTTATTTTTGTAGATATTCAAATTGATGTTTTACTGGTGATTCTACCAGTTAATTCTTGAATCCTTTTAATGAGTCTGTGAGGAATAACTTGATAACCTGCATTCTTTGTGCCATAACACCCATGTTTACACATTTTCTGTCTTGAACTGTAAGCTGTCATTTCTTTATGGATTTGTCCTTTTAAAAATAAATTTAATATTACTGTGCATGTATGCGTGTGCGCATGCCTATAGCTTTTAGGAGTCACTCTTCCTACTTTGTTGAGACAAGACAAGGTCTTGTTTCTGTTGTGCTGTATATTCCTGGCTAGTCCTCCCAGAACTGTGAGTTTGGAGGCCATCTTCCACCTTTGGTCCAGCTGTAGAGCATTGAGATTACAGATACACACCACAGCATCTGGCTTTTTTATGTGGTTCAAACGATTGAATTTAGGCCATTTTGCTTGTGTGGCAACTGCTTTTACCCGCAGATCTATCTCATCAGCATGGGAACCTGTTTTTTTAGAAGGAGGTTGTGTTTAGAAATCCTAGCTACTGGATTGCTTATTTCTATGCTTTTGTAGTGGATAGAGCTAGAAAATAATTTTCCTTTTTTATTTTGCATAATTTAAATTTTAATTTGCATAATTTATTTGCTGGTGTTAAGATTGAGCCCAGGGCCTCATGCATACTAAGCAATCACTCTCCTACTGAGTTATACGTTGGCCTCTAGTTTTCCTTGTAAGAAAAAGTTGAGCCCTATGCTGATATTTCCTGTTCACGTTGATGCCTGTAGTGTGTCATTTCTCTAATTGTATTATCTCCCTTCACTAGACTGAAAATGTGATTCTTAGACACCAACACCATTTCTCATTTATTTTTAGCATACAACATGCTCTCAGAACTAGCAGTTTTATTTTGATAGTCTTTCCTCTCCCCTTATCTGTAGGTATACTCCAAGACCCTAGGTAGATGCCTAAAGCACAAATAGTATGAAACCCTATGCGAACTGTTTTTCCCCTATGATGCCATGATAAGGTTAGGCACAGTCAAAAATATACAGTGACTAACAATTGTAATAATTGTTATTCTGTAAAAAGTATAGTTAGAATGATGAAGTGTATCGTCCTTGGTTAAGACTGTGTTGTGATTTATCCAGTTAGATCCTCATTTGTCAGTATTTGGGTTATTTCCATTTCTTTTTGAGACAGGATCTCAATGTGTCGCTCAGGCTTGAACTCAGCTCTCTTGCCATAGCCTCCTGATTGCTGGAGAGATAGGTGTGTCACCATGCTTGGCTTCCGTTCCTTAGCTACAGTAGTTCAGCATTTCTGTCTGTATGCATGTCTGTCTTATCTGTATGTGTATATGATTATTATTGTTATTTTTAACTTTTGACAGCACAGCTGTGATTCTGATTCTAAAAAGTGGGATTCCTAGGTCAAAGGGAAATTGTCTAAGTAGGTTTGTTAGGTTCTGGCAGTGTTTTAGTTTGTGCTGGTGTGAGACGTTGGTGCCATTTATGAGAAGTCTATTAATCCTCTTATTAACTATAAGAAATATTTTCATATTGCAAAATACAAACTTAACCTCTTATTTTATGTCAGGTTTGTTTCCAAATCACCACTACCACTACTTACCATAAACTGTTTATGGCAGAACATTGTCATCCTAAAAGTTGCAACTGTTCTAACTAATTTTGAAAATTGTACTGTTGCAGCCTGTCTTTATAAAGATAACGGCTGACACTGAGCTCCTCTTTTTCAAGTAAATACAGTGTATGCATTAGTTGTATTAAATTTATATTTACTAAGAAGTTAAGTTTAAAATGTTAAAAATTATTCCCAAAGATAGACATATTTATTATTTGTTTATTAGATAGATGGGTCTTGCCCTCACTGTCCTGGAACTTTCCACCCACCTAGAATTGGAATTGTAGATGATTATAAGGCTCTGTAGCCTCAGGGAAATGAACTCTTATCTTCTACAGGATCAGCAAGTGCTTTAAGTACCAGGAGCTACCTCTCTATCTTCTGATAATTTTGAATTTAGTGACCTGAAGGTTGATAAACAACAGTAACTCAAATTTATCATGACAGGTTGAGTTGAGTCATTCTGTTCCTGTGTCCATTTAGATTACTTAAATAAAAGAATAGGGCCACCAAATGCTAGGGACTTGAGTTTGCTGAATAAATGGATGGCCAGGGAGCCAACCCTACTGATGGTTAGTGGTAAAGGAATTTGAACAGAATTTGATATTTCATCTGTAAAAAGCAGTCATAAAATTTATCAAGTAAGGATTTCTACAACTTTTTAAATGTTTAGCATTTACAGGTTAGAAACAAATAGAAAAAGAATTCTGGAGATGAAGTGACATTATGACAGTGACTTGTGATCGTTAAAGGGCTCCATTTTACTAAAGTATCGTGTTGTCAAAAAGTACTGTCAGCATGAAAAACTTTCTCTGAAAGTGGAGTGAATTTTTGGCTTTAAGTGTGTGTGTGTGTGTGTGTGTGTGAGAGAGAGAGAGAGAGAGGAGGGAGAGGGGAAGAGGGAGAGAGAGAGAGAGAGAGAGAGAGAGAGAGAGAGAGAGAATAATGTTTTTCTCTTCTTTTGGTAGGCATTTGGGGTCACAACTTTGTGAATTAGAAAAGCTGATTGATAAAATGATGATTGCAGAATTTTCTACTTACTCTCATAGTGACTTAAATAGACCACTGGACGGTGAATGTCAAGTTTTAGAAGAGGTATGTGTTTGAACTGTGCAATCCAATTATTGTCTTTGCTTAGTATTGCTTCCTTTACAGCTTCAGTTTATAACACATTCTTCTCAGATCACAGTGAGCAAAATCACCTCAAATTTCCATGTATGACAGACTTTTGGAGCCCTGTGCTAGCTGTGTGTCTTTAATAAGCATCATAAATGCTTAGTATCCCATGAAGTAGAGAGTGGAGTAATGTCATGGCCTACGTAGAAAAAGGAGTTAAAGTGAGGTCTTTAAAGTTTAAAAACCAAATTCAAGATAGAGATGCAGGGTGAATGACTTCATTTATCCTCCATGGGCATGTATTCACTGGGGTTTATCTTCTGTAAAAAAGGATGGTTATGTGAGACTATGTTGTTGATATACAAATTCTGAATATGTTTTATTTGCATTTGTATGTACATATATCCAGGCTTTACTCACTGGTAATTTTGCAATGCAGATCATTGCCAAGAACTACCAGGAAGGAAAAAGAACCTAAAGTTCCTGGCTCATTATAACCTAAAGAGGTGTGCATATTCAGAGTCCAGATTGGCATTCAGTCTTCTGGCCTCAGGGACTCGTGACTGCTTATAAGTGTTTGTGGATATGCTCTAACTGTGGAAATGAGGACAAAAGACCTGTTAGTATTGTTTTGTCCTTCAGCCAGCTTCATTTCATATATTGTGGTAGAACAGGATTTACTTGTTGGAGAACACAGACTCCAAAAATCTGATGATGGCTAGATTGCTATGGGAGGGGTGACGTCATCCTTCTGGAAGTAGCACACTGTGTGCAGGCAGAAATCTGAGTGCAGTCTGACATAACTGTTATGATAAATGTTTTTGCTTCTAAATTAAATTTCAAATGTAAAATTATATATCTTTCTTTTGTTTTAATAGGAAAGATTAGTATCTCTTATATTTGGGCTTTTAAAGCAGAGAAAACTTAATTTTTTAGAAATCTATGGTGAAGAAATGATTATTACAGCAAAGAACATCATTAAGGAGGTATTGTACATTTTTATTTGATATATGATATGAAACTTGTGAAGTTTATTTTTATGTCAGGAACATATTTTTATGTCAGATATGCAGTATAATTATAATATTTGTTTAAAAATGAAAAAGGAGAAGCATAGCCTACCAGCCAAGAACACTGCTTTACGGATGTCTCTGTATACAGGTGCTATGGTTTTCTTACTGCTGCACATAGGACTTTGGACAGAGCTCAGAACCCACATAAGCATTTTTTCACATTATTTATTTTGCAAACCTTCAGAAGTGTTGGTTTTATTGTTCTGTAAAATCGAACCAACATCATGTTGGTTAGACCTATTATGTCTTTTTTTCAATGTGGAATACATAAGGTTTGAATTTGATGCTATAAATAAAACTGTGACAGACTTCTTGGGAATAAAGTTACTTTATTTTTTATATTTAAGTTTTGATTTGGGGGCTGGAGAGATGGCTCAGAGGTTAAGAGCACTGACTGCTCTTCCAGAGGTCCTGAGTTCAATTCCCAGCAACCACATGGTGGCTCACAACCATCTGTTATGAAATCTGGTGCCCTCTTCTGGTGTGCAGATATACATGGAAGCAGAATGTTGTATATATAATAAATAAATAAAATCTTTAAAAAAAAGTTTTGTTTTGTTTTTAAATGGGATTGAAAGGATGGCTCAGTCAGACCTATTTGGAAATACTGTGCACTTGTAATCCCATTACTGGGGAGGCAGAGACAGGAAGGTCCTGGGGCTGCCTGGCCAGCCAGTCCATCCTAATAGATGAACTGCAGGTCAATGAGTGACCCTGTCTGAAAGGAACTGGATGGCTTTCTTGAGGATGACACCCGAGATGGCCTCTGGCCTCCATGCCTGCACACAAGCATGCACACCTATATGCACACACATGTACTCATATATGCACACACACACAAAAACAACAAAAAAGTAGTTTTCTTAGACTGATGTCTGAAAGCACAATTGCTGGTCAGAGAGTAAAGGCTATTTTTTAAGTTGTTTAATACATAAAACTAGATTGTTGTCTGAAAACATTTTACTAATTTATACTGCCCATATAAGGAAGTGTTAACTTCCTTTTTACCCTGCTTAGAAAGTTAGTAATAACCTAGAATCTCTTAGACTTTTACCCCTAGTGCTGGGGATTGAACCTAGGCCTCATGTTGTGCATGTTAGGCAAGTACTCTGCTTCAGAGCTGAGCCCTCAACTCTGCCATGGTTTTAGTTACCCCTAATTTTTGCTTTGACTTATTTTAACTTAGATAATTTTACATAGGTTTATTAGGCTTAATCACCATTATTATGTAAGTTTTTAGTATATAAAGTACATAAATCCTGTAATTGATTTCTCTCTTACTTAGAACACTGGTTGAAACACTGCATTTCTAAAATGGGTATAACCACTTTGGAAAATTGTTGGTGATATTTACCAGTGATAACTATATATATATTACAACACCGAATTTAAATATTCACCTAACAGAATTGTGGTGTACACAATGAAATGCTATATCGCAATGAGATGGAATGGATTATTCATAGCTGTATAAATGAATAGTATAGACAATGTAAAGCCAGACAATGAAGGATCCCTGCATGTAGGATTCAGACACAGACAAAATGAATCATACTTTAGAAATCTATTAGTAACTTTTTGGGTCTGGAGTGATTGCTGGGCAGCCCTTGCAGAGGATCAGGGTTCGAGAACACCCTCATGGTGGCCCACAATTGCATTTAACTTCAGTTGCAGTGGTTCCAGCACCTTCTTCTGGCCTTTGCCGGCACTGCATGCATGTGATGTACAGACAAACATTTAGGGAAACACTGACACACATAGGGGTGGAGAGATGGCTCAGAGGTTAAGAGCACTGGCTGCTCTTCCAGAGGTCCTGAGTTCAATTCCCAGCAACCACATGGTGGCTCACAACCATCTGTAATGAGATCTGGTGCCCTCTTCTGGCATACAGGCTTATGTGGAGGCAGAATATTGTATAAATAATAAATAAATAGAATCTTTAAAAACTAAATAAATAAATAAAACTTTAAAAAGATAGTGACTTGAGAAGAATGGGCAAAGGATGAAATTATAAACAGTTTAAATGTTCAGTTTATTTAGTGAGTTCTAGTTCAACAGATAGCACTCTGTGTGAAGTTGTTTTCTGTGAGTGTGTGTTTATTTATTGTAGCAAGGCCCTATGCTTAATCCTTAGCACCATACTTACAAAAAAGATTATGATAACCAAGGAGTTCTTTTATTTATTAAAAATAAGAAAAAAATTATTATGAATGCTTTGCTTGCATATACATCTGTGCATTACATACATACCTGGACCTGAGAAGGACAGAAGGCGGCATTGGATCCTCTGGAACTGGTTATGAGCCACCAAGTGGGTACTGGAATCAAACTTGGGTCTTCTGGGAGAGGAGCCAGTGTTTTAACCACCGAGCCAACTCTACAGCACAGTTCTTTTGCTTTTAATTCACATGTATGTGTGTGAGCATCTTCAGGTGCATGTGGATTGATGGCCATGCATGTGTGTGTACATGTGTGGTCAGAGGACAACGTTGGGTACCCTTCAAGAGACATTCACCTGTGTTTTGAGACAGTCTCTTACTAAATCTGGAGCTTGCCTAATAGGCTAGCCTGGCTGGCCAGTGAGCCCCCAGGCTCTGCCTGTTGCAACCACACCTGGCTTTTTAACATGGATTCTGGGAATTAGACTCAGCTCCTCATGCTCATATTGGCAGGACAGGTATCTTACTGACTGAGCTCCCTCCACCCCCTAGCCCCAAGATGTTCTTTTTAACATACAGATGAAACATGAATTAGTTGGGATTCTAAAGACAATTAACCAAATTGCCCTTTTTCTTAAATTGCAGTGTGTGATTAATAAAGTTTCACAAATAGAAGAAATAGACACAGATGTTGTTGTGAAGTAAGTATAAACATGTATATAGCTTTGTGTTTATCAGTTAAGGGAATGATGACACTTGTAAATTAGAATTTTAAGGAGGACTAAACTAGCAATTGTTGACTGAGGTTTGGGTCAGGGTATAAAAAAGTTATGAATGATAATGAAGTACCTTTGAGAAATAGGGAAATGAGCATTAACAAAATTCATAGGAAAAATAGTGCTGTCCTTGAATAAAAGCTGTGTCCTTGGATAGAGGAAACAGTTACCATGAGTTGACTCTTGAGGGAGGTAACTGGAGGAGTAGGTACAGTAAAATCCACCCCTTAGCTTTAGGAGCTGCATTTAGAAGTCTTTGTGAATGCCTATGACCACAGACAGGAGGAACCTCATATAAACTGTGATTTTCCTTATGTTCTCTCTATCCTTGCTACTCAGTACAGGCATTAATCTTCTCTCCAGTTGTTTATATCCTGCTGTCTTCTCCAGGTCCTTGTCCTTTTGCTTTCTGCCTACTATTAAGTAAAAAAAAGGATACTTGAAGAAAAGCACTGATGCTTACAGTTGATCTGTTAGCTGAGATTGTTACTGATTATTGGGCAGGTAGTATATGCTACATGGATACACTGAACAAAGGAGTGATTCTAATCCAAGGTGGGGAGGGCAAGATCAATAATCTTACTACTACCAGTGGGGATTAAATTGTTTATTTTGGGAATTTTCCATTTAGTAGATTTCCATTTAGTATTACCTGGTTTGAATACAAGTAATATAACAGAAGCATAAAATGTAGAGAGAGAGTTGGTTGTTACACCTTTGCTGTTTCTAGTCTTCATAAGGACTCACCATTGGCCAAGCACTGCAGGTTGGCTTTTCAGGGCAAAGTTGAGCATAGAAGGGGAATAGAGGTTTTATGACTGGATTTCTCATTCATTTAGGTATCTAAACCTTATCTGGCCGAAGATATAAATGGTGATATGGATACTTTTTAAGGCTCTCTGGGCCAAACCCCCAGAATGGAGATGTGTAGTGTTAGCAATTCACACACTATTCCTTGGCACATCTGTCAGAATTGACAAAGGTTGGAGCACCTGTTGTCAAGGAGGTTGACTGGGAGACAAGTCATAGGCACTTTTAGAAAACTCAGGAAAACAGTGACTTCTTTTCTTGCTCTTCTGCAGGCTAGTTTTATGTCAACTTGACACAAGTTAGAATCATTTGGGAAAAGGGACTCTGAGTTGAGAAAATGAGTTCATAAGATGGGCCTGTAGGCAAGCCGGGCAGTGGTGGCGCACGCCTTTAGTCCTAGCACTCGGGAGGCAGAGGCAGGCAGATCTCTGTGAGTTCGAGGCCAGCCTGGTCTACAGAGCTACACAGAGAAACCCTGTCTCGAAAAAGAGAAAAGAAAAAAGAAAAGATGGGCCTGTAGGCAAGGTCTGCAGTACATTTTCTTAAATAGGGATTAATGTGGGAGGTCCCAGTCCACTGTGGATGGCACAGTGGAGCTGGTTGGGGGTCCTTGGTGCTGTGCCAACCCAGAAACCATGGAGAACAGGCCAGTAAGCAGCACCTTCCATGGCCTCTGCATCAGCTCCTGCTTTCAGGTTTCTGCCTGAGTTCCCCCAGCAATGGAGTGAAATCTGAGGGTTGTAAGCTAAAATAAACCCTTTCCTCCCCATGTTGTTTGTGGTCATGGTGTTCTCTCACATCAATAAAAACTCTAAAATACTCTGTAAGGAAATTTTCAAGTTTGCCATAGAGAACTTCCTGGTACCCAGTACAAAAACATCTTTGGGGGTGGGGAATAAACTCATGGCTATAGCAGCATTCATTGGAAATATAGAGTAATAAGTTACTTTAGTTCTATAAAAATCTCCTTAGGGGATTCTGTTTTGTATTAATCTGTTCCATTTTGGAAGTTATTGAGAGCAACTATCAAAGAAAGCTCTTTAGCTTGGGAGGCCATGGTTTTAGTTAGGGCTCTAGATAAATGGCACTTTATTTTTATGTAATATTTAGTATCTTTCCCTTCATCTTATAGATGTTACCATATTGGTACAGTTATTTTTGTTTAAATTTTTTTATAGACTTGCAGATCAAATGAGAATGTTGAATTTTCCCCAGTGGATTGATCTGTTAAAGGATATTTTCTCTAAGTTTACAGTTTTCCTACAGAGAGTTAAGGTAAGCTTACACATCAGTTGCCTATAATATCTCTGAAATTCAATCAGCTTTCTGGACAGAACTCATAGAACTGAAATGTATTTGGATGTAGGTCAGCCTTTATGTACATAATGATGTCTTTAAGCCTTCGTTTTAGTTTCTTTCGTTTCCCTTAGTCTGTCTTCATGATTGGACTCACTTGGCGTCCACTGATTTTGGATTTGAACTTGGAGTCTGCTTCCTTAGAGTCATGTCCACTCCCAAAAAGAAATCAAATGCTGGAGAGAGGAAGTAGTGTATAATGAGATTTGCAACCATGAATGTCAAAGTCCCTTATATCTTAATAGTTCATAAAGATACTAATTTATACGAACTATTTTTCATTCACCTAGCTTGCAGTGTTTATTGAGTATATCCTCTGTATCAAGTACCATTGTTTAGGATATTAACATTGAGGCAGATCTAACAATGTAGCAGAAAGAGACCAAATAAATAAAAAGATAATTTTAAATGATAATAAATATCCTTAAACAACAAGCAAAACAAAACAAAACCCACAACGAAACCACCACTGTGTAGTGGTCTAAAGCTGTTGTAGAGAGTCAGGGAAGGTCTCTTCGAGAAAGCTGCTGTTTGTGACAGAACCCAAGTGATGGGAAGGACAGTGTGCAAAGGTCACAGTGAGGAGCACTCTCTGCAAAGGAGGAAGCGTTGCGTGAGAACAGTCTTGGGATGTTCAGACAGAGAAGGAGCTGGCTGTCACAGTAGCCAACCAGTGAGAGAATGTTGATGTAAGAGATGGACAGGCCCTGGGAATACTAAAGGACATAAGTTATTTTTCATTAAGCAGGCATATTTACTACTATTAAGTTTCTCTGAGAGACAGGTTATATCTGGTACAGCATGTTCAAGAGGTTAGTGAAATGTATAGTGTGTTGTAGGGAAATTTCCATAACAAATGAGTTAGAGAGTAGGTACTCTGATTTCTAAGCTGTAGTGAACCTGCCTCACTTGTGCTGTTTGCCTTCACAAATCACTGTTACTGTACAATTCAAGACTGATAAAAATTGTAACAGTTGTTATGGGACTTTGATGCATTTATGATCATAGATGTTCAGAATTGTGTCTACATAATAAACTTTTGTTAATCTTAGGTTCATGATATTTAAATGCATCGTTCTAAAACATGTCCTACGTTTTCTTTTTGTAGGCAACATTGAATATCATTCACAGTGTTGTTCTCTCAGTTCTTGACAAAAACCAGAGGACTAGAGAACTGGAGGAGATTTCACATCAGAGGAGTGCTGCAAAGGACAATGCCTTGGACACAGAGGTGGCTTATTTGACCCACGAGGGCTTGTTCATAAGTGATGCTTTCGGGGAGGGTGAGCTAGCACCTGCAGCAGTTGATACTACCTCTCAGAGAAACACATCTCCAAATAGTGAGCCCTGCAGCAGTGATTCAGTATCTGAACCAGAGTGTACTGATTCTTCATCCAGCAAGGAGCAGACATCTGCATCTGCTACACCAGGAGGCATAGACGTTATGTGAGTGTAGTTGCTTTTGTGACAATGATAACTCTTTGAATGTTTCAGTAAGATTGAGAATTCAATTTAGTTTTTAAAATGTAACCTTTTTGTCTTGGAACTAAACTGTATTCTATGAAAATATACTTCAATTTGAAGACATGTAGAAGGTGTGGAGGTGAGCCTTGGAGATAGTGGAGACATTGTAGGACTTCAGACTGGTGAGGAACTTGAATTATTTAATGGATGTCCTCATTTCAGCACTGTGGTAATTGATTCCCAGGAAGCTTAGGAGATTTATGTAAAGTAAACAGAACTGTTCCTGGAACCCATGTCCAATACTGTTCTGGCAATTTTTCTCTGCCGTCTCTCTGTTCTGCTACTTTCTTATTTTATAATAGTAAAGATGTATTTGACTTACATGTCTGATTTTTTTCAAAGGCATGAGTTTCTTAGTGGATCACATTGCTTTTAAAAAAAATCATTTGTAAAAATGTGTCTTGGAATTATTTCAGGTTTACAGAATATTTGCCATAGCAGTACAAACACTAACATATCCTTCATCCAAAGTCCCCAGTTCTGAATAGTACCACATAGTAAACTGTACAGTTTCCCTCTTTTTCCTTCTTTACCTTTCCCGTTTTCTTTGTGTCTACAATCAGACATGATGCCTCTTTATCCCAGATACTAGAGTGTGTAATTACTAAAGCAGAACATTCTTTTACATAATCCAATTACTGTAGCAGTTAAGTTAATTAGATAATTATTCCCACATAGACCACAATCTTAAGTTTACCAGGTAGCCCTATAATATCTGGTATCTAAAAAGACAAAACAAAACCTATAATGCTTTAATTGTTAGTATTGTCATTTACACATTAATCTACTTCTGGTCCAGAGCTCATGGAGCTCACATTTTACTTGAGGTCAATTTATTAGACTTTTCCTTCCTACCAAAACAATAGCTGAACTGCGTTAGTAAATGTATATTTTATTTATATTTATTTTAGTATATTTTTCTGTGTTCAGGATCATATCTTTATATTTACTATTTATAATTATTGCTATTAAAATTCTGTGTCTTGACTGGGCATGGTGATGCATGTCTTTAATCCCAGCATCTGGTAGTGGGGTGTGGGAGGGTGGCAGAAGCAGGTGAATCTCTGTGAGTTCAAAGCCAGCCTAATCAGAAGATAAGACCTTATTTCAATTAGAAATTTGAACTTTTAAATTTGAGTGAGTTCTTTTGTTGGAGTTGGTATTAGTACCAGACTGTTTATCTAGAAATTGTTTTGAGCAATGCAGAGTTAATTTAGTCAGTTAAAAGAGGACCTTGAGTTTTATACGGGAACACAGCTGGTTGTGGTGGCATGTTCTTGAAATCCCAGAGCTGGGGAGGCAGAGACATGTAAATTCCTGTGGCTCAGAAGCCAGCCAGCCTGGCCTTCTTGCTGAGCCAATGAGAGGCCCTGTCTCATACACAGGTAAATGGATGCTGAGGAAGGAAACCAAAGGCTGCTCTCTGACTCCATTTGCATCCACCACATCCGTGTACTTACACCCCTCCCCCCATACACACACACACATACACACACACACACACACACACACACACACTTACTTATGTTGCTGAGGAAGCTTAATGAATTAGAGACCAATTCTGGTTTTAGTCTTACTCTTGCAACTGTGGGTACACAAACTACTGAGGTTTGGTGTCTACCTGCCTCAGTATGAGAACTGAACAGGAGTGTCCTGAGAGTACTTTGATGCTATTAACCCTGCATTATTTTAAGGCATTAATAGCTAAGTGTGGTGGCATTATAATTTTGAGGGACAACAAATGATAACTTTCATCAATATCTTAACCCAGTTAGAGTAGTAAGTTACTTCTAAGCAATAGAAATCAGAGTCTGAATAATTGTGTTATTCAGACAAAAGGGTTATAAGTGACACAGACACTTGACTTGGCTTATGATGACACTAAACTGAACTGTTGGCATAGAATTGGTGGCCTTTATGGTATGTTTATTTTAAAATAGGAAAATCTTACATTTCTCCTCAAAATATAAATACAGCTGTTGAATACAGTTTTTTGTTTGTTTGTTTGTTTGTTTGTTTGTTTGTTTTCCAAGACAGGGTTTCTCTGTGTATCTTTGGAGCCTATCCTGGCACTCGCTCTGGAGACCAGGCTGGCCTCGAACTCACAGAGATCCGCCTGCCTCTACCTCCCGAGTGCTGGGATTAAAGGTGTGCGCCACCAACACCCATCAAATACAGCTTTTTTTGAGGGCAGTGGTGTATCTATCTTTCCAGTGCTTAGCATTTAAGTTAAGTAAATATTGAGCCACTGAGTAGATTATAATCATAGGAAGAAGGAACCTGCTTGCTGTGGAATACCAAACTCCCTCATTAGTCCTTTACTGCACCCGCCTGCCACAGCAGCCACCTCACACCTAAGCCAGAACAATGGCTTTTTCTGCTCTAATATCTGCACACTTTCTAGTCTGAGTGTGAGCCAGGTGGTAGAACTAGCATAGCAAAGGAAGTTATTCTGATGTAATGTACCTTGAACACTGTTAGAACTTACTAAGTATTTGCTGTAGCCCAGAATTGTCTCCACAAGTGTGACCTTTACAGCTCTTTGAACCATCATGTGGAGAATCCCACTGCTGTGTGTCCTGACTCAGTCTCATGTCATCATTTCCAGGGTCAGTGAAGACATGAGATTAACTGACTTGGAGCTAGGAAAATTAGCAAGCAACATCCAGGAATTATTGTGTAGTGCTTCAGATATATGCCACGATCGAGCTGTCAAGTTTCTCATGTCAAGAGCAAAGGTATTTTCATAAAGCCTTGGAGATGTTCTGTTTATGCAAAGTGTGACTTTAGAGATCCAGGTTGGACTTTGCCTATGCCCATGGCCGGTCACAGTTTCACTAGTTTTAGCACTTGAAAAGTTGATGGTATTATTGCTATGGTCTTCTAGAGAGCTACTGGAATGTCAGATAATTAGATAAAACCATTAAATCATTCTTTTCAAATAATGATTTGTTTAAAAGGCTTATTTAAAAATATAACACCTTAATAATTAATTTGAATCTGATATGCTATTTCATATATATACAAAACAAACAAGGTGTTAATAAAATGGACCTCTAATATTATAAAAAATGTGTAGGATAACTCATTTGAATTACTACTGTGTTATAAAGTGATAATCAACTTTAGTCATCTTCAGCTTTTTATGTTTAAGTTTTGGAACCAAGTATTAGAAAATTTCAGTTAAAGTATAAATAATTGTTTTAAATCATAAATTTAAGTAATATGATAACTAACATATTAGTAAAATAAAAATAACATTACCAGTTGTTAAGCTAAGTCAGTTTTATAGCTCATGAATATTTTGTGTTATACTAACACTTGTCATGATGTGATTTTTAAAACTTAGGATGGTTTCCTTGAAAAGTTAAATTCTACAGAATTCATAACACTCTCAAGATTAATGGAGACGTTCATTATGGACACTGAGCAGATCTGTGGGAGGAAGAGCACGTCACTGCTCGGGGCTCTTCAGAGCCAAGCCAATAAGTTTGTGAACAGGTTTCATGAAGAGAGGCGGACCAAGCTCAGGTAGCACCGTGTCCATTCTGTTCTTTCCTTGAACAATTATGTTTTAAAACAAAAACGTAGTTGATTGACAGGCAAAATTCCTCAGAGTGTAGAAGTAAGGTCACATTTCTTAGCTTTTCAGATGGAATTAAAATATTTATTTCTGTCCAGCCTTAATACAAGGGGAGGAGCTTAGTCTTACCACAACTTGATATGCCATGCTTTCTTGACACCCATGGGAGGCCTGTCACTTTCTGAACAGAACCAGGAGGAGTGGGTTGAGAGGGCTAGCAGACAGGAAGTGGGGTAGGTAGGAAGTGAGGAGGAAGGGAAAACTGGTCAGGATGTAAAATAAGTAAATAAAATAAAAATATTTATTTCTATTGATGTCTATCAGTTGGTCCTCAGCTGATGTTTCTTTCTCACTCAAGATTGACTAAATTGTTTTCTTTGCTGACTTTGGCTAGGCTAAGAGACAGAAAATACTTTGAAAAAGTATTAGTTCTGATAGTGGGTAGGTCCCTGTACAGTTTACATGACATTCAGCACTGAGTACTGCCAAGTTGCTGGACATCTTCTTCCTTTTCTTTTAACTCAGGTGAGTGCTAGCATTAAAGCTCATCTGCCTTCTTTTTCACTTTTGAACAGCCTCCTCTTAGACAATGAGCGTTGGAAGCAAGCTGATGTTCCTGCAGAATTTCAGGATCTTGTTGATTCTATAGCAGATGGAAAGATTGCTTTACCTGAAAAAAAAACAGCAGGTATGTGTAGTCTCTTACATTGTCCCTTATATTGATGACCAAGGAGTACTGTCTATCCCTAAACAGCTCATAGTCTTTCAATTCTACTTCATGCAAACAAAATGGTTTTTTCAAATAAAGTTGTACATATAGATGCATTAGCCATGTTTTTGTTTTCTTGGAAAGTGAAGAGTTTTGACTTTTTTGGAGGTTCTGGTGGTAGGAGTTTTTTTTATACATTTGTTTCTGTCTCTGCGGCCTCCCCCCACCCACTCCCACCCACCCCATATACCTGCCTTTCCAAACAACATGAGTTGATGCTGTTAGAACTCGGTTAGCATTTGCTAGTCCTTATGACTAGGGATCTTGGGTTGTCATGCCTCTATCCATTGTGTATTCACTGACTTACTAGGTACTGACTCTCTAGGCACCAGAGAAGTGAAGGTTAACTCATAGTTAATATTGAGTGCTTGTTTGGTGCTAGGCATTGTTTTTAGAAGTTTACAGATATCATTGATGTTCTGCAAACTGGGCAGTTTAACAAGCAAGGTTATGCAAATAAGTTCAGAATTACAGAGGTAGGAAGTGGGAGAGCAAGGATTCAGATTCAGGCAAACAGACAGTAGGACCTTCCTCTTATCTGCTCTGCTTGCCACGACAGAACAAATAGACCTACATTCAAGTTGAATTGTGATTAGAACTTACTTTCTTTGAATGAAAGCAAAGAGGAAGTAAGTATTTTGTCTAAGTGTTGAGAAACTTGAAACTTAGGAAAAGCCCAACAATATGCCTTTGTTAAGTTAATTAATTTGGCTGGCCCAGGTCACTGATCTAATTTTTCTTCTTACCTCAAAATGCTGAATTTTGTTTCCAATGATAAGAAATATCGAGTGCTGAAAATTAATTTCTGGGTTGAAATCTTTAAAGGTTACTGTTAATAATGAAAAGGAACCTGGTAAAATGCTAGTTCTGCCTCTAAACTAATTATGACTTAAAAAGAATGACTTACTAATCTCCTATGTCCCAGGCCAGAGGATAGGAAATTTATAATCATTATTCCTGTCATTCTAACTATTCTGCAAGACAGATAGTTTAACTGCAAAGAAGTTAAGTCATTGGCCCAGGGTCATACAGCCAGTACTTGAAATAGTGGGACTCGGATCTAAGTCTAACTCTTAAACCCAGTGTACTTCCTTTACAGTGCCACTTAGCTTCCCAAGATACAATAGGTTTTGTTTTGTGAGATAGTTCTGGGTTTTAACCAGGAGCTATCATTTTCATTGTTTTTTCTTGTCATCTTGTTTCATCTTGTCTCCTATCTTTCTTTTTACTTTGTTTTCTAGCTACAGAAGAAAGGAAGCCAGCTGAAGTCCTTGTTGTTGAGGGACACCAGTATGCTGTTGTTGGGTGAGTAGCATATTTCTCTTTGAAATCTGCCTTCTAGTTCTCCCGTGGAGTGAATTGAAAATTTTTGAATAACAATGTTAAAAACTATATGCTATTTAAGGGAAATTATAATTCTTCTTTTATTTTCCATTGTTCTGTAGTGTGCTTTACTCCATCAGGAACTACACTGGTTTCACAGAAAGGCCCTGATTTTCTCATGAAACAGGAAATGTATGAAGGCCCATGTAGTAACTACTTGGTACCATTATTACCACCCCAGGCTCTTGCTGCCTTTTTCTTCTATAGTTTCTTGGTGTGCAGTATGCCAGAGTAGTTTTAGTCAAAACACAAACAGTTCTATCTATAAAACTATTGCTGTTCTGTGTATTATTTTGCACACCTCAACACTGTCATTATAGACATTGGGTGTTTTGCTCTTTTGTCAATAAATATTTATCTAATTCAAGTTAACTGGAAATATGCCATCTGTACTGCATGTCATTTATGAGATTTTAAGCTCACAATTGTCATTAAAGCATTGAATAGCTTAAGTATTGTCTTTGCTTCTTGTCACCGTTTTCTGAAATAGCTGCTCCCTTCATAAAGAAAGTAGTGCCTTGTCACAACAGTGTCTACAGTGGAATGGTCTCTCCGATTCCTTGGTAGACCTCTGCATTCTGCACTGGTGAGGGAGTTACTGACTCTAGGTTTCCAGTTTTCTTAGCACCATGGCAGCTGTGTAGAGGGTACCTGGGCTGGAAGCTTCTTCCCAGTTACTTTCCAGTTGCTGAAATATGTTTAACAGCAACACTTCTTTCTGCTTTTTGGAATCCTTGCTTGTCTCTGGGAGGGCAAAGTTGTTTTCAACCCCCTCTAATCTCACCCCTCCAATTGAAGTGTCATTTCTGTCTTTATTGATTTGTTATCCAGTTACATTTCATATGCTTGATGAAAATGGTCCCCCTTGGCTAGTGTCTTGGCTCCTTAGGAAAAAGAGCCAAAAAGGCTGAACTTCTTGGCTAAAGGGGACTAATGCATTTTTTTGAGGAAGATTATAAAGATATACGGTGGACTCATGCCACAAAGAGCGGACTACACTAGGCATGAGGCATATACATGGCCTCCCAGATGAGTTTAAAAGGCTAGATGCTCCTATGGAATTTTAGTTCTTAATATCTTGCAGACTTTTATAAAGGATTATTTAACATGGCTTTCTTATTTCTGAACAGCTGAATGAATTTAGATGTCTTATAGTAAGTTACTCCCCCCACTTAAATTTCAGTTGTACTTAACCTCCAATAATATATATGTTGTTTCTACTGTGAAATGTCCTGCAATTAAACTGACAATTTCTCATTTTTTTTGTGACCACTCAGTAAATTTCCTAGGACATTATGTTCTCCTTAGAGCATTATAAATTCTTTTTTCATCTCACTAAGAAAATCTGGATTAACAGCCTTCATTAATTCTAGAGCTATAATTAAGGACTGTTTATATGAATGAGCAGAACCACTGGCTAGTCTTTCAATGTTTCTTATTTGTTCAGTAAAGGGAATAATTGTGTATAATAGTGACTTGCTTAAAATTGCCATATAGAGGGGTGACAAGATGATTCAGCAGTTAAGAGTCCTTGTTACTCTTGCAGAGAACCCAAGTCTGGTTCCCAGCAATCTATGGTGGCTAGCAATTGTCTTTAGCTCCCGTTAAACTCCAGGGGATCCAAAACCCTCTTCTGGCCTCAGTGAGCACTGCACACATATGGTGCACAGACATACATGAAAGCAAAATACTCATACACATATTATAAAAATAAGTAAGTCTTTAAAAAATGCCATACAGAGAACGGTGTTTTCACAGCACAAAGCTTGATGAGATATTCATCATTAGTGACTTGTTGCTGACACTGAAGTTACCTAGCTACCAAGGTTGGTATATATCCATAGATGTTTTGAACTAGTTATTTGACTTTTCTTGCTGAGTGTCTGTGGGTTATCCTTTCCTTCTAGAACTGTCTTGCTGTTAATTAGAATCATCCTTGAATATTGCCAATGTGTGGATAACATCCCATCTGTCACCACTGACATGCTCACTCGTCTGACAGATTTGTTGAAGGTATGTACGGCTTTTCCCATTTATTTGAAAAATAATTGGAAGAGTTTGTTCATTAACGTATAACTAATCTTTAAGTTATTTTTAGGGTAGGAGTTTTGCAATTCTGGTCATGGTTGTATTCACCAAGGGCAGCATGCTTCTGTCCACTCAGTCTTTACTCGGTGTGTGCACGTGTTTGAGGTTTGCATGTGCTCATGTGTGCATGTGGTAGAATATTATTTTAAGGAGTGTGACTTTTGTTTATCCTGCAGTTGTTGCTATGTGAAACTGTGATTCTTTGCCTGTCTAAAACATCTGATGGTCTAATGAAGAGCTCATCAGTCAATAGTGAGGCAGGAGCAAGGATAGGTGGGGCTGTCAGGCAGAGAATAAATAGGAGGAGAAACAAGGAAGAGAGAAGAAATGAGAGAACAAGGAGAGGAGGATGTCAGGGGCCAGCCACCCAGCCAGCCACGGAGTAAAAGTAAGATTACAGAAGTGAGAAAAGTAAAAGCCCAGAGGCAAAAGGTAATTTAAGAAAAGCTGGCTAGAAACAAGCCAAGCTAAGGCTAGGCATTCTTAACTAAGAATAAGCCTCCATGTGTGAGTTATTTGGGTGGTGGCCCCTCCAAAAGAGCCAAAAAAAGTAAAAACCATCATACTACTGCAATGTGTGCACATGTGTGTGCTCACATGGCCTCACATCCACAGAGCTGTAAATGACCCTGGAGACTGAACATGACTCAGCTCCTTCACTTGGGAACCTGAACTGGTTTCCAGTGCATGGCAGGAGCTCACTGAAGCTTCATCTCACTCAAGATGAAGTCTTGACTGTCCTGAGCATCATTCTTCCACAGCCATTAATGGAATGAAATGGTGATGGTTTTAGCTAGTTCATATTAATAACAAAGGCTTTATTCTACCCCCTTTTATTGAAAATAGATGTGTTTTTTTTTCTCATATAATATAGCCTGATTACAGTTTCCCCTCCCTCTACTCTATCCAGTTCCTTTCCACCTCTCTTCCCATCTAGATCCACTCCCTTTTTGTCTCTCATTAGAAAAGAACAGGCTTCCAAGAAATAGCTGCAAAATATAACGAAATAAAATATAAGATAAAACAAAAATCACCACATTGAAGTTGGACAAGACAAACCAACAGAGGAAAAAGAGCCCAGCAGAAGTCACAAGAATCAGAGACCCACCTGTGCATTCTCTCAGGAGTCCATAAAAACACTAAAGTGAAAGCTATAATATATACACAGAGGTCCTGGTGCAGACCCTTGCAGGCCCTGTGCTTTCTGCTTCAGTCTCTGTGAGTTCACATGCGCTTTTGCTCAGTTGATTCAGGGGGCCTAGCTCTGGTATTCTCCTTCCCCTCTGGCTCTTACTCCTTTTCTGCCTCCTCTTCCAAGGGTTATCTGAGCTCCAAGAAGGATTTGATGGAGACATCCCATTTAGAGTTGTGTGTTCTAAGGTTTCTCTTTGTAATGTCTGGCTGTGGGTCTCTGTCTTTGTTTCCATCTGGTGCAGGAGAAGCTTCTCTGATGATGGCTGAATAAAGGCATTGATTTATGAGTATAGCATAACATGTTTAGGAGTCATTCTAGCACAAGTTTGGTTTTTTTATTTTTTTTATTTTTAAAGACCAGTATTTGTTTTTGCCCTAGGTCTCTGGGCTTTCTTTCTATTTTCTGGTTTTTGGATCCCAAGCAGTGTCAGGTATAGGTTCCATCTCATGGAGTGGGCATTAAGACAAATCAGACAGTGGTTCGTTAATCATACATTTTGCAGGCAAGACAGTATTGTAGATCAAAGGGTTTGTGTTGGATTGGTGTTTACTTTTCTCTTTTAGTAGCCTGCCAGAGTATCTTCCTGTACTGAAGACACTAGAATGTAGGGGTGAGGGCTCTATGCACCAACTTGACCTCTTCATGTTCAATGAGTTGTGTAGGTGTTATTTTCAGCAATGGGGTCTTACTGTCAGTTTGTGGAGAGCAACCTATTGCCTTGACATCAGCCTTGGTTGTTAAGGAATTTCCATGGCATTCCTTGGGCCAATACCCCACTTGGACATAACCCAGTCCCAATACTAGAAGCTTCATTTGGTGACAAGAATTGGCCAGTTGGGACTCCATATCCTTCATTATTTAGAAACTTGATTAGGATGATTTTCATGTAGTATAGGAAGTTTCCACTGCACTAGGTTTCCATACTACCCCTCTAATGCCCCTCAGTTACAACCATCTCTTCCTGTATTTCTTCCCTCAACCCTTTTCCCAGTCCCACTTTCCTGTTCCAGTCCTCCTATCTCCAGGTCTACCCATAAAATCTATTCTACTTCCCCCTCCCAGGGAAATCCATGTGTTCCCCCAGTCCCTTCCTCTATACCTAACCTCTTTGGGTTTATGGATTGTAACTTGGTTATCATTTATTTAACAGCTAATATCCATATATACATACCATGCTTGTCTTTCAGGTTCAGAGTTATCTCATTCAGGATGACTTTTTCTAATTCTATCCATTTATTTGCCTGCAAATTTTTCATGATGCCATTTTAAACAGTTGAGTAATATTCCATTGTGTAAATGTACCACATTTTTATTATCCATTCTTCTTTTGAGGAACATCCAGTTTGTTTCTGAATTCTGACCATTATGGATAGAGCAGCAATGAACACTGTTTAGCAAGTGGTAGGATGAAGTGTTCTTTAGGTATATGCCCAAGAGTGGTATAGTTGGATCTTGAGGTAGATCAGTTCTCATCTTTCTGAGGAACTGCCATACTGATTTCCAAAGTGGGTGTCCAAGTTTGCATTCCTCCAAGCAAGGGATGGATGTTCCTCTTGTTCCACATCCTCAGCAACATGAGCTGTCACTTGTATTATTGATCTTAGCCATTCTGACAGGTGTAAGATGGAATCTCAGAGTGTTTTTTTTTATTTACATTTCCCTGATGCTTAAGGATGTTGAACATTTCTTTTAAGTGTTTCTCAGCCTTTTGAGATTCTTCTCTTGAGAATCTCTGTTTAGATCTGTCCTCCATTTTTTAATTGGATTTTTTTGTTTTTGTTTTGTTTTTTGATATCTAGTTCCTTGAGTTCTTTATATATTTTGGCTATTAGTCCTCTATTGGATGTGGAGTTAGTAAAAATCTTTTCACAGAATGTAGGTGTTGACTTTGTGGTAATGATGGTGTCCTTTGCTTTACAAAAGCTTTTCAGTTTCATAACCGTTGCTCTTAGTGCCTACACTAAAAATGCTCTGTTTTGAAAAGTCATCTCCTGTGCCAGTGAGTTCAGGGCTAGTCCCCACTTTGTCTTCTAACATATTCAGTGTGTCTGGTTTTAAGTGGAGGTCTTTGATCCCCTTGGAGTCTGAGTATAAAGCAGGGTGATAAATATGGATCTACTTGCATTCTTCTACCTGCAGATAACCAGTTTGACCAAGAGCCGTTTGTGGAAGATGCTGTCTTTTTTTTCCAGTGTGTATATATGGCTTCTTTATTTAAAAAAAAAAAAAAAAAGTGTTCACAGGTGTGTGGATTTATGTCAGGGTCTTTGATTCAATTCCATTGGTCCACCTGTCTGTTTTTATGCCAATACCATGCTGGTTTTATTACTATAACTTTGTAGTACAGTTTGAAGTCAGGGAAGTTATTTTATTATTTTGGATTGTTTTAGCTTTCCTGTTTGGGGATTATTCTTTTTGTTTGTTGTTTTTTGTTTTTTTTTTTTTCATTTAAAGTTAAATATTGTCCTTTCAAGCTGTCTGAAGAATTGTGTTGGAATTTTGTTGGGGATTGCATTGAAATTTAAGTTGATGTTGACTGTGGGCTTGCTTTATTTAATATTTAATAAACCACTTTTATTATGTTGAGGTTTTTTTCGTGCCCCTGATGTCTCTAGGACTCTTATCATGAAGAGGTATTGGATTTTGTCAAAGGCTTTTTCTGCATCTAATGAGATAGTCATGTGGGTTTTGTCTTTGAGTTTGTTTCTATTTATTGATTTTTGTATATTGAACCATCCCAGCATCTCTGGTATGAAGTGTGCTTGATCATGGTGGATGATCTTTTTTATTTGTTCTTGGATTTGGTTTGGAAGTATTTTATTGGTATTTTTTGCATCTATGTTCATAAGGGAAATTGGTTTGTAATTCTCTTTCTTTATTGAGTCTTTATGTAGTTTGGGTAATCAGGGTAACTGTGACCTCAATTTTATGAATTTGACAATGGTTCTTCAGTTTCAGTTTTTTGAAATAATTAGAGGAATATTGGTATTAACTCGACTTTGAAAGTCTAATAGAATTCTGTGCTAAAAACCATCTGGCCCTGAGCTTTTGTTTTTTGTTTTTGTTCTTTGGTTTTTTTTTTTTTTTTTTTTTTTTTTTTGGGGGTTTTTTTTTTTTTTTTTTTTTTTGGAGAGTTTTAATGACTGCTTCTATTACAGTAGGGATTATAGGTCTATTTAAACTGCTTATCTGATCTTGATTTAACTTTGGTAGGTGGTATCTAATGAGAATATTGTCCACTTCTTTTAGATTTCCAATTTAGTGAAGTAGAGGTTTTTAAAGTATACCCTTATGATTCTCTGGATTTCCTCAGTGTCTGTTGTTATATCCCCCTTTCATTTCTGATTTGTTAATTTGGATATTCTCTTTACCTTTCAGTTAACTTGTATAAGAGTTTGCCAATCTTACTGATTTTTCTACAAGAACCAATTTCTTGTTACATTGATTCTTTGTATTCTGTTAATTTCTATTTTATTGAGTTCAGCCCTGAGTTTGATTATTTCTTGCTGTCTACTCTTTTTGTGTATCTTTGCTTCTTTTTGTTCTAGAGCTTTGAGGTGTACAGTTAAATTGCTAGTATGAGATCTCCAATTTCTTTATGAAGGCACTTAGTGCTATGAACTTGCCTCTTAGAACTACTTATATTGTGTCTCATAAGTTTGGATATGCTGTGTATTCATTTTCATTCAATTGTAGAAAGTCTTTAATTTCTTTCTTTCTATCCTGACCCATTTTACATTCAGTAGAGAGTTGATCAGTTTCCATGAGTTTGTAAAACTTTTTTTGTTTCTGTTGTTGATATCCATCTTTAATCTGTGGTGACCTATTAGGATGCAGGGAATTAATTCAGTTTTCTTGTATCTGTTGATACTTGCTTTGTGACCAGTTTTGGAGAATGTTCTGTGAGGTGCTAAGAAGAAAGTCTGTTCTTTTGTGTTTGGGTGAAATGTTTTGTAGATATCTGTTAGGTCCACTTGGCTTGTAACATCTGTTAATTTCATTATTTCTCTGTTTAGTTTCTGTCTGAATGACATGTCCGTTGGTGACAGTGGGCATTGAAATCTCCCACTATCAGTGTGTGAGGGTCAATATGTGATTTAAACTGTAGTAGTATTTCTTTTATGAACTTGGGAGCCCTTGTGTTTGGAGCATAGATGTTAAGAATTGAAATGTTATCTTGATGGAGTTTTCCTTTGAGTATATAGTGTCCTTCCCTATCTCTTCTGTTTAGTTTTGGTTTGAAATCCATTTTGTTAGATATCTTAAGTATGTTTGCTTGGAATATCTTTTTCCAACCCTTTACCCAGAGGTAATACCTATCTTTGACATTGAGTTGTGTTTCTTGGATGCAGCAGAAGGACGGATCCTGTTTTCACATCTATTCTGTTAGTCTGTGTCTTTTTATTGGGAACTTGAGTCTATTGTTATTGAGAGATATCGATGACCAATGATTGTTGATTCCTGTTACTTTGTTATTGTTGATAGTGGTAAGAGGGGTGGTGGTATATGTGTGTGTGTGTGTGTGTGTTTCCCTTTTGATTTTGCTGATCTGAAATTTCCCTGTGTTTTTGGGTTGTAATTTACCTCGTTAGGTTGGAATTTTCCTTCTAGCACTTTCTGAAGGGCTGGATTTTTAGATAAAAATTGCTTAAATTTGACTATCTTATTTTTGCTGTCTATGTGGATTGAAAGTTTTGTTGGGTATAGTAGTTTGGGCTGGCATCTGTGGCCTTTTAGAGTCTGCAGCACATCTGTCTTGCCCCTTCTAGCTCTTAGAGTCTCCATTGAGAAGTCAGGTATAATTCTAATGTCTTTATATGTTACTTGGTGTTTGTCCCTTGCAGCTTTTAATATTTTTGCTTTGTTCTATACATTTAATGCTCTGACTATTACATGCCAAGGGGACTTTCTTTTCTGGTCCAGTCTATTTGGTGTTGTATATATCTCTTGTACCTTCATAGGCATCTCCTTCTTTAGGCTAGGGAAATTTTCCTTTATGATTTTGTTGAAAATATCTTCTGGGCATTTGAGCTGGATTACTTGTCCTTCTTCTATTTCTATTATTATTAGATTTGATCTCTTCATAGTATCTCAGATTTCCTAGTATTTTGTGCCAGGAATGTTTGAGATAGAACATTGCCTTTGACTCATGTATCCATTCCTTTTGTTGTATCTCAGTGCCTGAGATTTTATTTTCTCTTCCACAGAGAAAATGTTCAAACTTTTCATTTCCAGAATTCCCTCAGTTTGCATTTTCTTTATTGATTCCATTTCCATTTTCAGGTCCTGAACAGTTTTATTCATCTCTTTCCACTATTTTTCTTTTCCTGTATTTCTTTAAGTGATTTATCCATTTCCTCTTTTAAGAATCTCTGTCATATCCATACAGGTTGTTTTTAGTTCTTTATCTTGTGCTTTGGCTATGTTGGAATATTTAGAGCCTGCTGTGGGAGGGTTTCTGAGCTCTAGTGGAGACAATTGTTCTACCTATTTGTTATTGACTGTGTTTTTACACTGGCATCTGGGCACAGGACAGTTGTGGGCCTAGGTGCTGATACCTGGTCTTGTCTTTGTTGGGGTGGGTGTTTTGTTCCTTGGTTTAGGAGAGTGTGGTGGCTGTATGTTGTCTAGTAGAAAGTTTTCTGTGGACTTGTTAGGTGTGGCCCCTGGGCATTCCAGGTAAAATGTCTTTCTGGGTATTGAGCGCTTTCACTTTGGAATGGAGATAGGCTAGGGGTCTGAAGGGCTTCACAGGAGGGAGGAGGGCAGAGTGTCCAACAGTGACTTCATTGGAGAAAACACTTTGCTGTGCAAGTGTGAGGATCAGAGTTTGAGTCCCCAGCACTCACATAAAAACAGGGTGGGCCTGGAGGCACCATACATATGTGAACACACATTTACAGAAAAATAAAGGACTTCGTGAAGTGACAAACTGGAGCTAGAGAGATGGCTTGTGGTTAAAAACATTTGCTCTTCTTAATGAAGATTCCAGAACTCATATCGTGGCTCACAGCCATCTGTAATTCCAGTTCTAGAGGATTCATTGCCTCCTCCTGATCTCTGTAGACCCCAGGCATGGACACAGTGCACACACATGATTGCAGGCAAAACACTCAAAATGGATCTTTAACAAAAAAGAGTGAAACTGTACTGCTTTTGTAAATATAAATTAGAGATTAATTTCTAAAAAAATTGATCTTTAGATTTCAGGTTTTTTCCCCCACCAGAAGTCAATATTGAACATTCCTATCCTACCTCCTTTTCATTATAAATAGATAATTGCTTTTACCAGAAAATTCATCAAGCCATTGTACTGAATCATTCCTCTAATCTCAGCACCTGGGAGGCTGAAACAGGAGAATTGCTAGCTGGCTTTTGTAGTGAGTTCAGGTCAACATGCACCACAGAATGAGACCTGTCTCAAAAAAAAAAAAAAAAAAAATTTCATCGTTTGAGATGAGAGGGTGAGCAGAGGAGGAGTGTATTTGTGTCTGTGGAGCAGTTAGCACTTTAATGAACTGTTCAAATTATCACTTTCCTTCTTCCTTTGTTAGTACTTCAATTCAAGAAGTTGCCAGTTAGTTCTTGGAGCCGGTGCATTGCAAGTTGTTGGACTAAAAACAATTACTACAAAAAATTTGGGTATGAATTCTTCCATTTAATTCCCATACTAAGTTGTTAGAATGGTGTCACTTTTGTATCATGTTTTTATGCCTGATGTTTGTATGGCTCGGACAAGAGCCTGTAAAAGTGGCAGGAGCCACATTAGCCTTTTATGTGGTGGCGGTGTGTGTGTGTGTGTTTTCACTGTTCCAAGTCATATGGAAGATGTGTCACTTTCTAGAATGTTATAATGTGTGGAAAGTATTTCGGGAAATATGCACTAAAAAGTATTTTGGGAAAAGAATCAGCTGTGCCAGTGTCCCCAGGCTGCTCATGGGTGCAGTGGGAAAGTAGCATGTTCATTGCCAAATTATTTTCTTGTGCAAAATGAAACATTGCTTTCTGCCATGGTGCTTTTCATTTGTGAAATAAGCTGCAATCTGTATATAATTAGTGTGAAAGTTTTTACTTAATTGATAATAGTTAAAATTAACTAATGTCTCTGTCTCTGCATTATATATCCACTCCCCAACTGCAGCCCTGTCTTCGAGGTGTTTGCAGTTGATTGTGCACTACATTCCTGTGATCCGGGCTCACTTTGAAGCTCGACTACCCCCTAAGCAATGGAGCATGCTTAGGCATTTTGATCACATCACCAAGGTATTTTCCCCGTTTTCTATTGGAGTTTCACAAATGTATTCTTTGATTGGTAGAGATTGTGGAAATATGTCTTAGGAAACTTTACAGTATTATTTCTCATTACAGGATTACCATGACCATATAGCTGAAATATCAGCCAAGCTTGTAGCGATAATGGACAGCCTGTTTGATAAGCTGTTGTCAAAGGTAATGATTCTTATAAATGATTAAGTTTTGCATAAGCCTAAGGCATTGTGACTTGCCATTTTTAGAGAATTCTAGATATATAAGGACATGGTAGGAGAATGTAGGTGTTTATAAGGTATTTACCAATTGGTCAAAATTTTAACTTTTTTCCCCCAGGAAAATATTACCATGTCTTAGGGCCCTTTAGTGATCTGGCTCACAATTGCATAGCAAATCATATGCCTCAGTTTCGAGAGCTGTACAATAGAATGTTGAAATTTTGCATAATTGATACTCATCTTCCAAATGGCCTGGGCAAGTAAGGGAGATAAAGACAGGGATGACAATTGTACCCAGTGTGTCATGTTGGTTCACTGACACTTCACCCATAAGATAACTGACATTTTCTTTTTATTAAAATACGTTACAATAAATTTGAAGCAGGACGGTATTCTTTAACCAAGAAAAAGGGTTAGGGAGATAGCTCAATCAGTGAAGTGTTTTCCTTACACACATCACCCACGGGTTTCTTGTTTGTATTTTAAAGAGGGAAGCATGGTAGCAAATGCTTGGGATCCCTGCTCAGGGGAGGTGGGGACAGGTGAATGCCTGGGGTTTGCTGGCCAGCCAGCTTAGCCATCTCAGCGACTTCCAGGCCATAGAGAAATGGTGTCTTAGGTGGGTGGCACCTGAGGAATATCACACAGGTGTCCCCTGCCCTCCACTTTCAGTCACACATAGACATTTGCACATCCACCTTCTCACACAAATAAAATGTTAAAGGAACAGTCTTCCATAAGAAATCTACAGTTACCACACCTAATGATGTTACCAGTAACTTTAGTATCCTCTGCTGACTTCTCGTGTTTGGGACTTAACACAGAAACTTCTTTGTAAGCGTGATTCATTCATTATATTTGCTGATTGTGTCTCTCAAGTTTTTTGTTTTGCTTTGTTTTAATAAATTAGGGCATTCCCCTCCACATTGTTGTTCTGTTGCTTTAATATTACTGCCCTAGAGAATGTGGTCAGGTCTTAGAGCAGAGGTATGTGCTCCTCTCGTGGTCACTTACCACCGATCCTGCCTGACATGTTACATTCCTGTGTTAGCAAGTCTGCCTTTGCCACACACTGTCGGACTTGCTTTCATGTGTTGCCCAGAAGTTTGATCTTTTTTTTTTTTTTTTTAATTCGTACCAAAATAGGAGAAAGGATTTGTTTGGGTTTGTCTTTTAGTTTTTAGCCTTTCATTTTCTTGCCTGAAATTTTAATTTTGAATGCATGCCACAATAATATAATATAGGCTATTTTAAGAAGCTAATAAGGATGCATTTCTTGTGTTGGATGTCGATCTCCAATTATATAGACAGCTAGACTAATTAGTATTTATTCACTCATTCATACAAACCATTGTGCTGGGTAATGGGGCAACACAGAGTGGACCAGTCTTCCATCTGGTCTTCAAATAGTAAAGATCTAGTAAGGAAACTTATAGCAACTTCAGCAACAAGAAGTATATGTGAACTTTATGAGTAAGGAATTGTGTAGCATGAATAATAGAAACCCAGAGACAGATACGGAGTTCAAGCTGAAGATCAGAGAAGCAAAGCAACCAAGCTACCAGAGAGCTCTTACCTTTACCCAGGCTGGGGCCATCCTGACCTAATGTGTCTGGAGACTAATTGCTAGGACTGACTACTGAATACCCTGCTCCTATCTTAAATACCTTTGTAGTGCTGGGATTAAAGGCATGAGCTCTGTTTCTCTTTTAGACTGACTCACTCTCATGTAGCCCTGGGTGGCCTTGAACTCACAGAGACCCATCTGCCTCCAAGTCCTGGGATTAAGGGTGTGTGCCTCCACTACTCAGCTTCTATGGTTGTGGCTAGCTTTGCATTCTGATCTTCAGTGGCTTTATTAGATTATAAACTATACCACCACAGAATTGGTTGCGTGTGTTAGAGCTTTGACTGCGTGGAAGACATGGTTGCAGCAGGGAGAGAAGAGCTGGGAAAGTATTCCAGCTGTTGCATGCATATGAAATTTGCTTTTAAAGATAGGTGAGAAATTAATAGGCAAAAGACTCTGTGATAACATGAGAAAACATGTTGGAAATCCTAAGAAACCCATTCCATGTCAGAGTTAGAGAGGCAGACCCAAATCAAGTCTCATGTTTGCTACAGACTAGTCTTTAGTGAATTGTTAATTAAATCTCCGTTTCTGTCTCTAGACGGAAAGAATAGAAATGATCTCAAAGGGTAGAGTGAGAGTTAGTGAGGTTTATCTAAGTGCATTTGGTGCATTTTTTGTTTCTTTGACTGTAGCAAGTTTTAGTAAGTGTCAGCTGCCAGTACTCTGCTGTTGTAATAGTAACTTACGTGGAAGATGACATTTGCTGATGCACTGGGTTGCACACACAGGAATGGATGACTGCTAGAAATCAGTTTAAATCAGGTTTATTGAGGTATAATTCATATTCAGTAAAATTCACTCTTTCTATGTATACAATTTGGTGACTTAAAATTCAAATATAAGTAATGAAATGTCCATATTCGAGATAAAGAAAATTATTGAGCTGGGCGTTGGTGGCACACGCCTTTAATCCCAGCACTCGGGAGGCAGAGGCAGGTGGATCTCTGTGAGTTCGAGGCCAGCCTGGTCTCCAGAGCAAGTGCCAGGATAGGCTCCAAAGCTACACAGAGAAACCCTGTCTCGAAAAACCAAAAAAGAAAAAAAAATTATTGATAAATCTTCTCTTGGACATTTTAGTTTTTCTTTTTCTTCATATGGAGTTATAGCCTGTCGTGCTAGGCTCCTTTTGTTTAGCATAATGATTTTAGAATTGATGAATGCAACCAAATTCTTTGTATGCTTACAAAAAATAATTTTTAGAAAGGGAGCAGTTGTGGAATTTATGATAAAGAAGCCTTGCTTGTTGAAAACTGAAAGAGATGATCAAGAGCGGAAAACCTAGGAAGGTGCAGTGCTGTGGAGGGTGTGCAGTGTGACAATGGGAGATGCCACAGAGCGATGAACAAAGGGAGCCAGGAAAGTTACTCTTTGGAAGTTAGTGTGTTTTTAGTGATTTTTTTTTTCCAAAGAGAAATTTCAGAGGAATGTTAGAAAGAGAAGGTCTCTTAGGTCACGAGTTAATATTTTGTCATGTTTAGGTGACTGAAGGATGTGGAAAAGAATGTTACCATTAGGGAAAGCAGAAATGAATGATTTGGGATGGTGGATTAGCCTTTTTAGGGGTGCCAAAACAAATGACTATAAATGGGATGACTTAAAAGAATCCTCAGGTCAGGTACCAGTGAGGTCATACGCTTTCTGAAGGCACCTTTCTCAAGTGTGTGGTGCTTGCTGTGGGTCCATGGCGTTCTTCGCCTTGTGATCCATCACCTCAATGTCTTCACTTGTCTGAGTTTCTTCCAGCACTAGGATAGTTTGAAAGCAATGTCAAAACTCCAGAAATAGTAAGTTTCTGTAAGGAGGCAGAGAGCGTAGTTATCACGTATTTCTTATCAGTGGTATTATGAAATGGTGCAGCCACTTTGGAACATAGTTTGATATTTCCTGATAAGTTAAACATGAGTTCACATGAGCCACTGACTTCTTCTAGCTACATGTCCAAGGGAGCAAAAGTAATTAATATCCATGCAAAAACCTTTACACAGATGTTCACAATGAAATAATTCATAACAGCTCTGATTTCCACCAGCTGATCAGTGATGAAGAGAATGTGGTCTGTTCATAGGGATGAAGTCCAGTTGCATGTTATAACAAGAATGAGCCTGGAAAGAATTAAGTGCAAGAAGCCAGCCACAAAAGTCACATGTTTCATGAATCTGTTTATATAAACTATTTAGGAATCAAAGGAGCTTCAATTTAAACCAAGCAGTTTTATGTTTGGAAGTAGCCTATGGTCTTAGATACTAAGCTGTTTTATTTCCCATAAGATAGATAATGATATTGACGAAAAGTTTCTCAAGATTTGTATGGGTAGTACCGTCCTCAGCTGAAGACCAAGGTCAGTATGGAGGCACAGAAAACTCAACGCAGGGAATGTGAGAGACACTACAAAGTCCAAAAGACTAAACACAGTTCTCTTTTTTTTCCCTTGCCAGTACGAGGTGAAAGCTCCTGTCCCTTCCCCTTGTTTCAGGAATATTTGTAAGCAAATGACAAAAATGCATGAAGCTATATTTGATCTTCTTCCTGAAGAACAAACACGGGTGAGTGGTAACTCTGAAAACCTTTGTGATTTTAACATTTTATATCCATACCAGTAGGGGAGTTTGTACTTGCTTTGATCCAGTTAAGTTGATGTCTGCTATCATTTTTAGGTCGTTATATTGATTAGGGAGGTATGGACAAAATGTCTTAATTTCAAAAATGTCTTTTGGCAGTTGAGAACTAAATATAAATCACCCATTGTTAGAAGTCAAAACTTCTATTACTCTTTATATTGTTAGTTTGGAAATCAGAGTTGGCATTTATTAATAAATCTATAATGTTATAAATTGAGATTGTAGCACAGATGAGAGGTGAAAGTAGTGATGGAGTAAGATTAGCAATAGCATAAGTCATTAATACTTATTAGACCACCCAGGAGTAATCTGTAGTAAAGGGTTGGGGGTGATGCTCAGCTATGATAAGGGATGGGGAAGGAGTGAGAGGCATTTGTCTTTCCTGCTGTCCTCCAGAAGTATTACACATTTAATCTTTGGGCCCCCTATGCCCCTGTGCCCTTTGCTCTGACACCTCAAAAAAAAAAAAAAAAAAAAAAAAAAAAAAAAAAAAAAAAAAGTCCAGAATTCATCCCTTCCTCATTTTTATTCATCTAATTGAATTCCCCTAAAATAGATGCTATCATTCAAGCCCAGTTGTAGAATGTGCAGTGTTAGGATACAAACTTGTGTGTAACCGTGGACTTAACTTCCATTGGGTTTTTTGTTATCCAGAACTTTGTTTCTGTCGTTTGTGTATGCATGTGGATGGTGTTGGGGCGGGGTCTTCTTAGTGCTCTATGTGTTCTTGTATCTCCTGCTCTCCTTTCTTGTGCCTCTTGTACTTCATTCTCTACCAGCTGTTCACATTCTTCATGTTTTTCTAGGTTTTCTTTAATCACATTAACCTCATTAATTCCCTTGGGGCTTGGACTGAGGGGAATACAGGCATGACTGCCCTGAAGGGTTGTTGCCTTGTCATTTGTTAGCCAGCCATCCTTCAGTTGTAAGGTTTCTCTGGAAGATTCGAACAATGTCTGCTCATCCCAGGAAGGGCACCAGGAGCAGGCCAATGAAACAGTTCCATCTAGGTCTACCTGGTGATCTAATGAGTTTATTAAGGTTACTTACAGGGGTGTAGGTGAATCAAAGGCAGCTGTGTCCCTGAAGAACCACCCAAGCATGGGTGGCAGCTCAAAGTTGCATCCCTGGAGCTCCCTGAACAAGCCTTGAAACCTGCAGGGAGTTCAGGGGTTTTCAGCAGTTGTTACTGCCTCTGTGGGGAGGTACATGTAACTCTGAGCCTCCTGAGCCTGGGGAGCTGGGTTGGCTTCTCTCCCCACTATAGGAGGGATGCTTCAGTTCTGAGGAGATGGCTGCCCACCTTCCCAGCCAACAAGTAAGCTTCTCCTGTCTCTGACTCTGACCTGCATATGCTGTCTGAGAGCCACACCAGGGAGCTTCTGCCTGCCGAAGTTCGGCTAGAGTTAACAGGCTTGTATGTTCCTAATACCACTGGAATACCAGCAACTGCCCAAACTTCCACAGGTGCCTTATATAATGTTCCACAGTAAATTACTTTTACCTGATTTGTCTCATTCCCTCGCCCCCACTAAGTTCCTAGATTAAATAAAACTTTCCACTACTTTCAATTATTTTTACCTAGTTTTGACTCTGTGTAGCCCTGAGAAATCCTCCAAATGTACACAAAGGCAATTTCACTGCTAAGAGAAGTACTGCTAAGCAGGAAAATTATTTTGGCCCAACTGTGGAGAAAAACCATAGTGAAATAGCAGCTCAGTACTTCAGAAGAGCATCCTAAAAGTAGAGGTCAAAACAAAGATTTTAAAAAATGTTTCTCCATATGCTGGTAACAGGTACTTCTATCTTCTGTTTCAGGAGAACTTTAAGCAACGTTTATTTCTTTTTCAGATGTTGTTTTTAAGAATTAATGCAAGTTACAAACTCCACCTGAAAAAGCAGTTGTCACACTTAAATGTAATAAATGATGGAGGACCTCAAAATGGGTATGATTCTTAATCTGTTTTCACCACATGCTCCCACACTGAATCGCTTAATTCCTTGTCATCGTACTAAAGAAGAAAACCAGGAAGTCAGCAATGTTGTCTTTTTCTTCTCTTATGGACATGCCTTTTTTGTATCTTCCCACTGTGTGTCTGTTAATAAGGGTTGTCAGTATTCAGCTTCTTGCTGAACCTTAAATATCCTCAGTGAGGCAGCATGGGCTGGTGGCTCATCTCTAGATGCTGAGTAGACAGTACTCAGAGCTTTACTCCAGGGCCCTTGGATTAGGGGAGTGGCCTCATTTATAAATGAGGGTAACATATGCCTTATTTTGTAGGGTTCTGAAAAATAATCTATTGTTGAAATAGTATTGTATTTAAAAACCATAGAATTCATATTTTACAAAGTTTGAGCTAAACTATCTCTGCCACCTACTAGCTTATATATAAAATTTTGAACAATCACTTTTATCTAGGCCTGTATTTTCTTAGATATTTTTTGTTTTCAGTTTTAGACAGGGACTGGCTCTTGTTATGTATACCAGGCTGGTGTCCAACTCAAGAGATCCCCTTGCCGCTGCCTCCAAATGCTAGTATTAAAGGTATGTGCTAGGAAACATGATTAAAAAACAAAACCCTTTCTTCCTTTTATGAAGTAATTGAAGATAAAATCTGAAGCTGGGGATGTTGTTGGATGGCAGAACACTCGCCATGTATCTGTGAGGCCCTGACTTCCGTCCCTGGCATTGTAAAAATGGGTGCGTGTTTGTATTTTACTAAAAGTAAAAGGCACCACCAACCACTTGGTGTGATTTCCTTGGTGTGCCACATATTTATCTTTTAAAAAAATATATGCACGGGTATTTTCCCTGCATGTCCGTTTATGTGCAGTAAGCCAGAAGACAGAGCATTGGATCTCCTGGAATTGGAGTTACAGTTGTGAGCTGCCATTGGAATTGGAGTTACAGTTGTGAGCTGCCATGTGGGTGCTGGGAGCTAACCCATGTCCTCTCTAAGAACAGCAAATGCTTAGAACTGCTGAGCCATCTCTCTGGTGCCTGAAAAACTACCCCATGAATGATACGAAATATTGATAATAGGTAGTCTGTTACTAAAGCTAAATTAAAAGCAAGAGAAATATATTGTTTCTCTTTTAGAAAACAGAGGTGCCTAATCATATCTTCTTCATTCAGAGCCAATTTAGAAGCAGGAATGAAATGAGAGTAAGTTTGCCTTCCTGCTGTGCCTTGTCATTGATACTCATCTACCCAGCTGAAAGCTTAGAACTCTGCTTAGTCCCACTGGTCTTGATTTCCCTTGTATAGTTAAATGTAGTACTTATCTCCAGGAGTGACTGGAAAATTGGATGTTCTAAATGAAATCAGGTAGAATCACACCAGCTACTAGCTAAATGTTCATGATCCATTCTTGTTGTGAAGCCATTTACAAGTTGGCTGGTCAAGCATTATATACATCAGAGAATTTGACCTTTAGGTCATTAATTTTCTTCCAAATCTGGATTGTGAATGGTTTAGAGACATTGCTTACTTAGTAGTTCATTTAAGTCACAGACTAAGGGCTGGAATAAATGAGAGTCTTAATTTAAACAGAATGATCTGTAAAGTGTTACTTTCTTGTTGGCTACTTGGAGGACAAGTAGAGGAGGGAAGCACCTGCATTTCTTAAAGAGGGTAGGTAGGGGTTTCACACACGCCACCAGTATCTGTTTGTTGTGTTACAGCAGAATACTAAGACGCTGTAAGTGGCTGTGCCTAACCCTCATGTGGCTGTTAATGAGTTGCTATGAAACCAAATAGGAAGCTAAGTGTTTCATACATGCTAGTCCCATTCTAGATTGGTAAGCTACTAAAAACTTGAAAGTCAATCTTAATTATATTTTATTTGACCATTTATAGAGTACAGTTTTTTTCCAAATGAATTAAATTATCCATATCACTCAAACTGTACTATAAAAAAATTGCATACAGATTCTTTGGTGTTCCTCTGAGGCTTTTTGTGGATGGAGAAAATCCTTGTTTGGCTGACATTAATTTTAAGATTAGTTCTTTTTATAATTTCAAATCTTCCATTTGAGTTGGGGAGATAACTCCATGATAGAGCAATTGCCAGTAAGTCTTAGAGTTCAGTCCCTGTCACCCACCTCCCCCAGTGCATTACGTGTGTGTGTGTGTGTGTGTGTGTGTGTGTGTGTGTGTGTTGTAACAATTCACTTCACAAATTTTTCCTGAACTCTAAAACATACCTGAACTGGAAAAAAGAATTCAAATAAAACAGTATCAGCAAACTAATATTTAAAACAAACAAAATTACACTTCAGTTTCTAAGAGCAGCTCCTGCTTTCACAGTGCAGAGTCTAAAGGAAATGATCTAATGTAGGTATGAATCTGATGGGTTCGCACACAAAAGTGAGTCTTTATTAATCTGATTGTTGTTTGTTGGTTGTGTGTTTTGCTGGAGATGGAATCCACACCCTTATTCATGCTGAACAAGTACTCTACCCTTTAGCTGTACTCCCAACTCCCAGTCCTCAGTATATTCAGTAGTGCTTGCCTAAGAACCCCGACTTTCATTTAATTTCTAGGTACTTCCAGGAAACCAGAGTTTTCTTTGAGCATCCCCTATTGTAGCCACACATACACATTTTAGTGACAACCAATTGAAATCATTTCAGTTTAATGTGTGTGTGTGGGGGGGGGGGGGGGGGAGGCAGGTTTCTCTGTGTAACAGCCGTGAAACTCACTCTGTAGATCAGGCTGGCCTTGAACTCAAGAGATTTGCCTCCTGAGGGCTGGGATTAAAGGCGTGCACCACCACTGCCTGGTTAATTTCTCTCTTAGTTCATGCTTTTTAAAATAAATCTTATTTTATCAGGCAGAATTTATCATGAAACTGACTTCAAAAGGCATTGGTTTATACCTTATCCAAACTTATCAAATCAGTATTAAATGGCTCTTTTGACAGTGGAAGTCTGCTAAGTGTCAACATTTTCATCCCTAGTAATTCTGGATTTAAAACTATTGTAGCGGTTAGGCTAAGCATCTGGGATTAAAGGCGTGGGCCACCACTGCTCTAGGCTAAGCATCTGAATGTTGCTTTTATTATCTGATTAGAAGTATTACAGTTTAAAAATGCCTTTCTCCCCACTCTAGGCTGGTCACAGCAGATGTAGCTTTTTACACTGGAAATCTTCAAGCCTTAAAAGGCCTTAAAGACCTGGATCTAAATATGGCTGAGATCTGGGAACAGAAGAGGTGATGGCAGACTGGAAACCAGGTAGTCATCTGACCACAGGATGTGTTTCTGAAGAAAATATGGATGCCTGGTGTTTTAGGAAATGAACATGCGACAGTGTGAACTGAGGCGGGGGAAGGGAAGAGGAAGGGTCAGTGTTGGGAGCTGGATTCAGTGGGATCTACAAGGAATGCCATTTTTGTGCATCCTTCAGTAAGGAGTAACTGATCAGGTGTCTATAACATTTTTCATTCTCTCTGGAAACAGACTCAGGTTTCTTTGGACCAAATCCAAAAGAACACATAGCTGTAACACAGCTGTAGTTGCCTAGAATGCTCTGTATACTTTATATTAAAAATGCTCTGCATTTCTTCCAGTGCAATGAAATTCATACGGTGTCCCACCTTATTTAATGATGGTACAATTGAAAATATTAAAATCTTAGTCAACCTCTGTAGAAAGTTTTCTCTATGAAAGTAAAGCTGTTTGAAAAATTATTTTTTTACAGATCTTTATAAAAAATAAACATCTTTTGATTGCTTGGATTTAGGAATTCAGTTTTTGTTTTAGTGACCAATGTCAGTTTCAGGTTTTGTGTGTTGCATATTTAACCTTTTTACTACCACTGTATGTCACTGGGTAAAGCCTCAAACCGCTCAATATATGGAAGATTGATTATAAGGAATAAAGAATATTTGCATTTACTTATGCAACTACTAATTTAAATACTTTCCAGAAGTGATATACACAAAGCTATGGTTTAATAGCTGTATTTATAAAAGTACCTATGAAGGGTTTGGGTTTGTATTTGTTTTTTCTTTGCTTTTTTTACTTCTAGCAGAGGCAAGAATACATATTTATATAATATGCCTTCTTACAAATTCTCATTTTAACATTTAGATAACACGAAATATGGCCCTCTTGGATTCTTGCTTTTAAGTTACTTTTGATATGTATATAAGTGAAGACCAGGGATAAACAGAACTTTTAAAATCCAGGCTGCTGTGTCGGGGCCAGAAGTACAAGGTCAATGAGTAAGCTATTTGAAGACTTTAGAATCGGCAGCACTCTACAAGTGAAAGTGCCTGTGCCTCACACCCAGAATCTTGCCTCACCCTGTCAGAGTGCCTAATCTTGTGGTGATAATGTATAATGAAATAATCTTATCTTGTGGGTTTTTTTTCTTTTGTTTTCTCAAAAGGATTTTTTTTAATCATTACAGAGGTATGTCATTGGTTCTTACTGTCAAAAATAAAGATGTAAAAAAATCATCAGACTTAAAAGGCAGCTTTTTTCAATGGTGGAGAATACAATATACTTTAAACACAACCTTTTCAAGACAAGTATGGAAGAGCTGGAAACATTACTTGATTAAAGAAAGGCATGTGTCAACTACCAGTAGATCTGATTCCAAAGTTATCAGTACTTTTGAGTGATAACAAGTGTTAGAACTGAAGCTTTAAAGAAAGGGAACTTCTAATGAAGTTATTATCCTCTCTCCAACACACATTGTTCTAGAATACAAAAGACATATTCTACTTTTGCTTGCCCCACCTCTTCAGCTGGGGGAAAGGGGGGGTTGTGTGTGTCATTAAATGTGGAAAGTATGCCAGGCATCCTAGTTTTAGAACCAGGTGAAGAATGCTAAGTACCTTCAAGTTCAGTTCCTGTGTCAGTAACAGTGTTAGCAGTCTTAGAAGTGGAAAACAAACAACAAACTGGACTGGCTAGCTAACTAGCTAGTCATCAACATTCCAAGAAACCCACACTAGAACAACAGTACATACACTGCTGTCTCCTGCAGTTTCACAAAGTCGACACTAAACAACACAAGTAAACACGTGGATTGTTGTATCACTTTATTTTTAAAATCAAAGGCAATCAAAGACCATCACTCCAGCTTCTGTTAAAAGATTGCCGAGCTGGCCCAGTTCTACGATTAAATAATATTGCACTTTTAGATGAACTCATCTCTAGGCTCTTCATCAAAAAAGGACAGTACTGCTCCATCTATGCTCTCTTTAGGCTAAAAGCACATTGCAGAAAACTCTAAAAAATCAACACTGCACAGTAAAAGTACTTGCTCATTTGAGAATCTTAGAGGACATTTTATTACAAGAAACTGTTTAACCCATAATTAGTATAAAGTGTATCCGGCAGCGCTTATCTTAGTGATCCAAGATTCGAAGATTTCCAGATACGATCTTGTTCTCTAACACTGCTCCAGGGGGGATGTCAATTCTGTCACCATGATTTGCAATAATGATAACTGTTCCCTAAGTGAAGAAAAAAGCAAGTGAGATTGTATTTACAATGTAGTTGTTGTAAGATTAAACATGAAAGGTCAATAATCTCAAGGAATACAATAATTTGTCCTATCACAAACCTGGTGTAGTTCTGGACTTCTTAGAGGTGGCACCAGAAGTGGGAAGCAGCCGAATGAATGACCCATCTCAGGCTCACTTGCTTGTATTACTTAGTCTTCTTAAAGAAGTAAAGGGTGCCTGGCTTGTATTTACAGAGTTGGTTTTGTTGTGTGTCTATGTCATTGCATCTGCACATGTGTATGGAGACCAAGGGACAACCTCAAGTATTGTTCTTCAGGTGCCACACGCCATTTTTTCTATTTGAGGGGATCTCTCTCACACTTCGCCGTGAGGCATCAGGTGAGGCTGGCTCCGCTAGCTGCAGGGATCTGTCTGTCTGCTCCTGCAGTGCAGGTATGACAGCTCATGTACCACTCTGCCTTCTTAGGAGGGTCCCACAGGTCTGCATATCCTTGGCCCCCTACTCCTCCCTTTTGTTTTTAAAGAATAGTATTGGAAACATTTCTTATGTCTAGTGAGATTTTAGGTTAAGCAATATACACAATGAAGTTACATTCACGTATCTTATTTTTAACATTTTCATTGAAGTAAATGGCTAGAACACAAAAGAACACTTAAAATACCAATCCAGGCTATTTGTAAGATGATGTACTTAGGAAAAAGCAAGTGTTAACTTCAGTTGTGAGCCTTAATCATCTATTCTCTTCTATTTCTCAACAGGACTAGATGATTCACTATGAATCTTGAGTGAGCTAATGCTCACAGTGCTAATGGAGACTATTCCTGAAGACTGTCCCATTTCACTCTACCTAGTGTTTCCTTTCTCACTGAGGGCTATATTCCACAGAACTCCTGTATTGGTTATGCTTGTATTTTTAAGTGGTTATGTATCTGGATACACTAGTACTAAATACAGGGATGATCATCGGTCTGTCCACACTAATAATGACTCCTTAAATTAAGGTAAATTTAGAACTAGAAAGTGAAGCCTACTTTATAAAGCCATAATATACATGATTTTCATCATACGAACCTTTAATGAAACATTTTTTCCAAATGTCACATCTCCAGAAACAGTGAGGTGATCCAATTCCAGCATGTCAGGTATACTTTCAAACCTCCTTAGGTAATCTTGAACCTTCAAGTAGAAGCATAAAAAGTATTTCAGACGGCAGCATGTGAAACCACTATAGCCACAGGGATCTGAGGACTTCCCCTTTCAAATAAGCACAGCTGTGCCAACACTCCGTAAGGATTTTCTCTCATACTTCCAGTTTTGACCTCTGCTCTTACATATACCTTACAGCTCTTTGCTTCTATTCATACACGGCTCAGTTACACTTAGGATTACTTTTCTATTTCTCTGTCTTGATTATACTTAGGCATTCCTGATTTAACTATCCTCTTCAGCCACATCTCATACACTCTCCCCTCTTTTTTTCTCCTTTCTGACCACCTCTTTGTACTTGTTATCATAATGTCCATAGTTTTAAGAATTTAATCTGTGGACCCAGGCAGTAACTCAGCTCTCCCTCCTAGCTACTTTACTCCCCTTATTTTCTTTTCAAAGTCACTTCTACTGTGGTCATTGAAATGAGATTGCCCCCCATATGCTCTAGTATGAACACTTGGTCCCTGGGCTGGTATCACTGGAGAGGTGTAGGAGGTTTAGTCTTGATGAAAGAAGTATGTTACAAGGTTCTGGAGCCTAAAGCATTGCCCTGCTTCCAGTGTACACTCTCAGCTTGAATGAGAATGTGAGCGCTCAGCTTCCTGCTTCTGGTGCCATGCTTTCCAGCCATGAAGAAATAAGCTCATTTTTCTGTAAATTGCTTTGGTCAATAGTAACTGACTAGTATGACAGTTGACTAGTGGTGATGTCAAACAGCTGTGGCTCTCCCAGTCAGTACCCTATTTGGGGAACAATACAGAACTTACAGAAGGCACCCTAAGCTAGCTTGAACAATTATTTCCTCAACTACACACTGGCACAAATAAGTCCCACTTGAACATTGCAAATACTTCAACCAAAAGAATATAGCTAATTAAAAAAACAAAACAGCAAAGAAATAACACCAGCTGTCCAAATCCCAATGCATAAAACAAACTAGATATAACTCTTCCAAGTGAGTTAGCTGTAATCCCAAACAGATAATTCAAAATAATAAGTATGTTCAAAGACAAACAGCTGAATGAAATAGGGAAGGTGGTAGATGATACGGAAAGAACTCAACAAAGAAATACTGAGGAAAAAAACAATCTTAAATTCTGTGTATATATAAAACACAAATTTAAAAACAAAGAGCTCTGTGGAATGTCTCAACAATAGGAAAGTAACTGAGCTTGACGACAAGGTGGAGGAACTGAACAAACCAACAAGGACAAAGAGAATCTTGGACCAGAGGCACCTCTAAGATACATGAAACACTTTGAAGAGACCAAGTCTCCAGGTTATAGACATAAAAGGAGAAGATGCTCATTCTAAAGGCATAGAAGACATTTTTGGGCTGGGTATTGATGGCATATTCCTTTAACCCCAGCACTTGAGAGGCAGAAGCAGGAGAAACTCTTCAAGTTCAAGGCTAGCCTGGGCTACATACTGAGATCCTGTAACAAAAACATTTTCAAAAGAATCACAAGAATTAGGAAAAGGATGACCCAGATGCTGGAGACATTTAGGACTCCCAACAGGTAAGAATGGAAAATAATCTCCCCCTTGTCATAAGTAATACACTAAATATACAGAACAAAATATATTTAAAGAAACATTAAGTCACATATAAACGTAGGTCCATAAACTTTTAAAGCCAGAATGGTTTGGAATAATGCTTTCAAGTTCTGAAATACTATAGATGGCAAAGTTATCTGTCATAATTGAAGAAAAGGCAAAACTTCCCTTGATAAAAATATACTAAAGAAATGAATGCCAACTCTACAGAAGATCTTGAAGGAATCCACCCAAAGGCAGGTCAAAGGAAATAAACCACACCAGAGTAATTAAGCAAGAAGAAAAATATAAAAATTCCTTAATGAAATGTCATGAATCAACTTTCAATAACAGAACACTAATGGTCCCAACTCTCCAACCAAAAAAAAAACAGGCTAGTAGTCTGAGTAAAAAGGTAGGAGCCGTCCATTTGCTGCCCCCAAGAAACAAATCCAAAAAACAGAGATTACATTATAAAAACAAACAACAAACCACCACATGTCATCACAAAACTTCAGAGTAGAAAGATGGGAAAAAGTATTTTAAGCATATGAACCTAGGAAACAGCCAGGCACCATCATTGTAATATCTGGCAAAATAGACCTCAAACTGAAACTAGTGTAAGTGCAGAAAAATGCATTGGATTGCAAAATATTATATGCAGTGTGGTAACACAAGCTCAGATAAAAATGCATGCTTTGTGCCCCGTTTTGAATTTTTAGATTTATCTATTTGGAGTATTTGGGGGGGGGGCTCTTAAGGGGCAAAGGGATAGAATATACAATGATAAAAAAAATAGGTGAGGAAATACTGGGGGGTTAAGTGTTAAGCAGAAATGGGGACAAGAGAGGAGGAGGGTGGTGTGAGTCTACCAAAATTAAGGATAAATGGAAATATTTATGACCAGGACTCTGCATGGATGGACAATGCTTTCCCCAGAAGACACTGGTTATTAAATGAAAATCCCAATGCCAGGCATAGGAAACTATTTAAGAGTTAATGGTCAGGGAGGTGCCATGGTCTCCAAAAGAACAAAGGCTATTGGCATTGCTCCTGGTTGTCCACCAGAACTAAATGGTATGAGTCTACTGCTGAAGACAACACATTTTAGTTCTAAGACAGACAAGTTGGAACTGACCTGAAAACTTCCTCTTTGCTTGGGTAGCTTTCACAGAAAATGCCAGAAGGTGCTATGTAGGCCACTGGGGAAGGAAAGTTATCAATGGTCTTGCCCAGTGACAAATGTGCATGCCACAATACAAACCTATCCGAAGATGTGCCCACTGGTACTACAATGGCATGAGAGTTTTGGAGGTAACAACTGCCTTCTGACTGGATTCATGCCTAGTACTGTGAACCTGGTCATAAGCCCTAGGAAGGAACCTACAACTGCTGTATTGCTAAAAGGATACATTATCAAAATGCCTTCTAAATATATATGTTTGTACACACAGATGAGTCAGCTGCCCTCAACCTTGACCAGAGATTACTTCTACCATCATCAGCAGTTAATGCAGAGATTCATAACTGGTCAAAGTGCTGAGAAGAAATGACTATTGACATCAATAGACATCAATCCTCAACCCCAAGGATCAGGGAACATAGAACAGTGGGTGGAGGACAGGGTTTATTGCTATGAAATACTGTCCTCTGGATATGGCATGGTCCTGCATTCATGAACTTACCAGAACTAGGGTTATCTGTACAAGATCAAGCCAACACTATCAGTCAACATCCAACAGGTAGCACTAATTTGACTTGGTTTCAAAAAAGGAAAAGAACATGAAGGGGAAAAGCCAATGTATTGAGGTTCCAGGGGGAGTTGGAAAGTGGGGTGAACGTAATCAAGATACACTGTTTGCATGCATAAAACCATCAAAGCATATTCATTCAAAAATTCTTTCAAAAATGGATTCCTAACAGCAACTGGATTGCCTGCACAAGTCACCAGTCCAAATTTCAGCATAGACGAAGGGGCTCCTGAGGCTCAACCCACAAGTGAGGAGCTGCTGACTGCTGCTGGCCACTGAGGGAAGGTCATTTTTGGTATGCTTATTCCCACTGTCAGCTTTAACTGGACTGGAGAAATGGTTCAGCAGCAGGAGAACTTAGTTCTTGCAAAGGACCTACATTCATTTCCCAGCACCCATACCACGCTGCTTACAACCTTCTCTAACTCCAGTTCCAGGGGATCCATCTGATGCTCTCTAATCTTGAGGGCACCTGCACACACATGGTACACATAAATTCACAAAAAGCACACACACACAAAACTTTACAAAAATAAAAAAGGATATGGGCTTGCGAAGAAGATAGTTTGGTGGGTTAGGGGGGTGGCAGTAGTGATGGATAAGACTATATACAAAAACATAAACATATTTTTAAAAACAAAAATAGGGATTACATTTAAAAGATACCATCTATGTTTCTAGCAAGTTTTCTATGGGAAGAGCCTGTTTATTTGCACTAATTATGTTCAAGCTCCTGTGAAGGAGATAGGGTAATGTTGCTAAAAACCAAGCATCTTATAGTGCAGTTGAGTAGAACAGATGCTTTGTTTTAAGATGAGAAAACAAATGAGTAGCCATCACATTGAGCCAGATGAGCAGTTCACACAGTCAAGATTTAGAGAAAGAGGAGAGACCATCAAGGCTTGAGATATCCTAGACTAGAGCTGGCCTTATGGGATGGTAGGAGACAGTTGCAGCAGGGCTCAGGATGAGAAACAGCACAACTTATAAGAATCACTATATGCTTCTTCCGTTCTTAGGCTTTGTTTTCTACTTTGCTGAGAAAATAAACCTGACTGGTTTTGGCGCCCACTATGCCATTCTACCTCCTTGTCTCTTCCTTAACCCATGCTCTACTGCTGGCTAGACTATTCAGACATGAAGCCAGCCTCTCCACTATTAGATCTTTCCTTAGAACAAATTCCTTAAGAATTTGTTCCACGAGTCTCCTTCAGTTATTTTCCTCTTCTGACTATATTAATTCCCATCAATACATAAGTAAATTCTCTCATATTTACAAAACAGAACCCTCAACATTTATATCCTTTTTGGCTTATGACCTAATTCCTATTTTTCTTTGAGGCTTCAACTCTTAAAAAATCATCTCCAACTCCGATTCTCCCATTCTCCTTAAATCCATTCCAATTATATTCCCAAACTTTACACTGGTAAGTCTAATGGTGAATTTTCCTCTAGCTTGAATCAGCAACAGCAGTTGACAATCAATTCCTTCCACCTTGAAACTTCTTTTTCATCTTTCAAGACCCACATATTCATAGTTTACTACCGAATGCTTCATCTGCACTCCAGACCAAATGGGCTAGACTAGACTTGGATGGCATAGCAGAATCCTGGAGGCTATCTATCAACTTACCCTGTGGTTATCAGGATGGAGTTTTGTAAGTCTGGGTTTCACCCCTGCCTAGCTGAAGCTCTCTACCAGTACACAGCATTCCTGGCATCTTCCTGAGGCTCTCTGTGACCAGCCAGGGCATCGTGACACCATCAACCCCTCACACACTTCCAGCTCTGCTCTTGCTGTGTTTCTCTATAGTTTCTACTGCCCGCTATACTATGTATTTGATAGACTGGCTTCTGAGCTTCTCCCACTAGGATGCTAATTTTAGGAAGATAAGGATTTTAGTTTGCTTTGCTTGCTGTAAATCTCCACATCTAGAAACTGCCCATATATAGTAGGAGCTCAATACATAGTTATTAAACCAGAATTAACCCTTTCTGACTGATGAGTCATAAAACAGACAAAATAAAATGTCCCCAAATTATTCTACTATCCAGAGAAATTAAAAACTATAGTCAATTCCTATAAACCATATCAAAGATGGAGGGATATAAAAGATCAGTAGTGAAAAATAATTCTTGAATTATCTTTACAAATTACATACCTTGGTAAAGGAACTTCCTAATTTAACCAAGGGTACTGTAGGAAACTCCCGCTTTTCACTCATGGTCAAAGATCCTGCATTAAGGCTATAGAGGTTTGACATCACAAGCAAGAGATCTGACGTGGTCTTCACAGGCAGAAAACGACTCCTTGGAACATTAATACCTAAAGAATTCTCGAAACTTTTAATTGCAGCTCCAACTGCAGTTTCTAACTGAATAACATTCAGGCCTCCATCCAAAGTCTATAAAAAAGAAAGAAGAAAAAAGGAGGTAGGGTAAGAGCACGGAAACAAAGGGTTTGGGGCTTATTTGTTTTTGTTTGTTTTGAGACAGAATTTCATGTATCAAACTCTCTACGTACTGAGGATAACTTGAACTACTTCCTACGTCTACTTCCCAACTTCTAGAATTATGGGTATATACTGCCACACCCAGAAAACACAGGTTTTTATGTACCCAGCTTGGTTCCATGTGTGATGTTAGTACTTGGGAAGTGATGTCATAGAATCTTGAGAACGTACACTAGCCAAGTACTTATATTATGCTCCATATGTGACTTTTTTTTTTTTTTAAGTCTCTTAACTTGAGTGAGCAACATGTCCATTTTTCAGTAAAAAACCAGGAGCTGAGAAAACATATGCAAGATTCCTACAGATGGTGGCATATGAGTCTAAAAGCAGTACCTAAGCTGAAAGGGTCTTTTCAGCTGAGGGTCAAATCAGGAGCACATCACCGGGATGAGTACAGACCTGGAGAACCTGACTAGATAAAAAGCCCGGCGGTGGTGGTGCATACCTTTAATCTCAGCACTCAAGAGGCAGAAGCAGGAGGATCTCTGTGAGTTTGAGGTCAGCCTGGTCTACAGAGTGAGTTCCAGAATAGCCAGGGCTACACACAGAAACCCTGTCTCAAAAAAAAAAAAAAAAAAACAACAAAAAACAAACAAACAAACAAAAAAAAAGTCTGACTGATGGGCCAGCCAAGCCAGAGGGAGAAAGTAGGGAGCCCTGGACTGTGACTTCAGTTACCTTTGGATTCACAATGATTTCCATGTCAATGGCATTCTGCTCCTGCAGTCTTTTAACTGCTGCAAGAGAGATCCATAGGTTGTTTGTGTTAAATATTTTAAATTTTGACACAGACTTGAATTCATCAACATGTGCTTTTGGCACTTGAGCAATCTCCACCAGTCTCAGTTTGCCTTCATATTGAGTGAGTGTTCCACCCTAGAAAAGCAGAAAATCGTGAGTGCTTCCAAATCTTTTGCAGTCAGCCATACCACATTGATTATGATTTCAGAAGACACTGACTATATAATTTTCTAATACACAAAGTAACATATTCATGATTCAGATTGTCACTTTATACTCACTGTCCTGTCTATAATTAAAGCCCTGGGAGTTCATCAAAGTCCCCCCTCCCCTTCCTAAGGCTGGCTATAGGAACATTCCTCTTACTCCCAAACCACTTACCACCACCAAACAGCTTAGTCCTACCCAGACAAGGTATAGGATGGGGGGAGAAGGGAGACAAATGAGCAAATGAGAGGCCGCTCAAGGCTGGGAATGTTCTTATAGCCGTAAGACCATGCCAGTGTGGGAGAAGGGGGCAGAGAATCCACGGCAGGGGATGTTTTGGTATGTATCAGCTACAGGTAAATGGTAAAATCTTGTGTGTCATTTTATCAAAGGCCAAGTACCACCACCAAATATGCCATGTTCAAGTTACACTTTGTACTAAAACAGCTGCATTATTTTTATACAACTACAAAGATAGTGTAGAGACAAAGTATAGATATAATACATACATACATACATACATACATACATTTTATAGAAATAAATTTCCATGAAAGGGATAACATAATAAAATATGCCAAACTTGAAGCAGAGTAATGGTGTGAACAAGTTTGCTGTGTGTTCTCATATATTTCAGATTTGTTCTATAAAAACATATAAAACTTTTTAATTTAAACTATTGACATAGATTTACACTATTATTAACTCTGGGCTCATGATACACTGTTATTTTAGAACTTAAGGTACTCCACAGAAAATATCACACCCTCTTAAAATGATGCTAAGTAAATAATAAATATGTGTGCATAAAATAGAAACTTATAATAGCAGGAAAAGTATTTTCACTATGTAATTTATTAAATGTAAAACCATGAATCCCCAAGTTGATTCTTCAGTATTTACCTTTACATCTGCTCGTGTTTTATTTGTGACTTCCATGACAAATTCACAGCGTTTCCCATTGGGTGGGTTCATTAGATGATTAAGAATATAAAGATCCACTGTGGCACCCAGGTTATCTATGTTAGAAACAAAAATATACTCTTTGCCTTCTTCTAGAAAGGTGTCGAGCAAGCCCGAGTTGTAGAAACTAGCATAGATATCTCCATGTCCTGGGGGGTACCAAGCTTCTGTACTTTCCCCTGAGGAAGACACATCCTTTGCTACAGGAAGTAAAGATTCCTTATTAATCCTCGGATACCTTAAAAAACAAAACAAGAAAGCTATTTATTATAGTGTACCCTAATCCTTCAATTAAAACAAGATATTAAAACTTCGTAAGGGCTGGAGGGATGGATCAATAGCCAAGAGCATGTACTGTTCTGTTTCTAACACCCAGATCAAATGGCCTGCAAGCTCCTGTAATCCCAGTTTCAGGGAATTTTGTGCCCTCTTCTGACCTCCTTGGGCATCTGTACTCATGTGCATATACCCACACAGAGATATACACAGATACCCACAATTAAAAATAAAACAATCTTTTAAAAATATTAAATAAAACATGCCTCCATTTCAGAGACTGTCAATAGTAAATTATTGGTGAATTCTTTTAAGAAATTCTGTCATTAGTATTTTTTAAAAAATCTGTTTTCTAGATGTTCAAGGGAAGTTTTCCATGGCCATACAGATAGGAAGACACTTCACATTTTAAAGATATTTTTTAACAACTCTCTAAGATGAAGGACTCAGTAAGTAATTTTAAACTTATTTGGTTCTTCTGCCTGAAAATCTATCTGAAGAAATCTGCCCATTCTTAAACACATGCATTCAGAGTTGCTTCCCTTCCTTTAGTGCCAGCTGTATGCACATGGGTAAGAGCTAGCAAATGGTAAAGGAAAGCAGGAAAGAACACGTGGACAGCCAGCCTACTAGGAAACAGGCAACAAACACATTATGATGATAAAAAAAAAAGTGATGTGAAAACAGATTTTAAAATACCAACAAACTAAATGGTCCAACATTGCTTCCAAAAAGTTTCTACAGGCTACTATTCATCTCTAACTAGAAAGCTTGCCCCCTGCCCCAGTCATCTGAATTCCTTTCTACTCATACTATTTGCCCCCAGAGTAGAGGTTTTCATTCAAGACTTACTTAAATTTCCACAGGTTTATCTACTCAGGTGAAGAAAACCCCTTCCACAGGAAAGGTGTTCAGTATTATGGTTTACAGGAAGTCACCCACCTGCCTAGAGACCTTAACACATCAAAACTTTATAAATTGCCTTTAAATATCTGAGACATAGACTAAGATCTCACGAAGATCCCCTGAGAAACTAGAAATTATAGAACCAATGTTTATAACCATCACATATTTATCAACCTCTATTTAGTTTTAAAGAATCAAGTTCTTGCATGAATTGACCTTTGCTGGAATGAGCTACTGTGTCGCAACAATGAAGAGAATTCCCAGGAATCACAATCATACCAGCTAGTTATTTTTATTTCTGATACCTGCTTTGATTGAAGGTGTAGATTTTCACACGGCAATGATTGTACTTCTGAAGTATTTTTTTTGTGTCTTCATCCGTGTTAAAAGAGTTCATTAAAACAAGAGGGACATCTGTATTGTAGCTTTTGTTCAAATGCTGAAGAAGAGAGTAACAATCAGATCATCCAGACTCACATTCTGACTTCCAATCTAAAATTGTCTCTTCAATGGTTAATTACAAAACGTTTAAAACCTGACTGATAGCACTCTCTGGATTTATAAATACATATATAGGTACATTTTATTAAGTAACCACTTGGCATGAGCACATGTGTGGATAAGCAATTCATCATGCACTCATTCAATAAATCATGGCCCTCTGAAATACAAGCTACTATCTCCATTTCATGACTAACTCGACTGAGATCCAGATGTGGTGGCCTGGGACAGTGCCCACTGGGGCTGTGTGAACAGTCAACAGTAGTCCCTGGCCTGAAGGTAGACAGGTGCTAATTAAGTATCTGCTCTTGTATCCACCCTCTGTGGGGAAAGAATACAAATGCTGCAATGTCATGGTTTCCTGTTCTCAGGATGAATTTCAAACTCAATCACACTTCAGCTAACATCTTCTCAGTCTCTCAAAAGAGCTAAGAGGCAGCACAGTAGGAAAACAGATAATTAAAACCCAGTCTGTCTTACGTTCAAATTTTGATTCTACTTTATTAACTGGCTAGAAGCCTTGCACTTAGAGCCCATCCTCATCTAGAAAATGGGGATAACAGTACTTGTGAGCTGTTGAGAGGAATAAATGAGTCCTTCTGAAGAAGTGCTTAGAATGCCCGGGGCACAGTAAATACTGGACAAATGTTGGCTTAGCTGCTATTGCTAGTGTTATAACTGTAGTTGCCAGTGAGAAACAGAGAAGGAAAAGACAAGGTCTCTGCCCCATAAGGTCTACAATGAATAACTCTATCAAAGAAGGAAGCTAAGGATAGTTCTGCATCCACTCCATCTAACCAGATGTAGGACATCCTCCCCAGCTTCCCAAAAGGGAGTAAGCCAGAAAACTTGAGTGTCATGAAGGAAAGTAGTTAGAGGGCAGATCAAAGGAGACTCTGAACAGACCCAGAGCTTTCAGCAAACACAAATGCTATTTAATAATATACTCTTAGACACATACCCACACACCAATAGACAAAACAGCATTCTCTTGGACTAGCTCAAACTCACATTCACATTTACAATATAGCACTTATGTTAATGTAAAAACTAACCTATTTTACTATGAGAATGGCTAAATACTACTCACTTCAATTTGCTGCACAGTTAGATCCAAAAAGGTATTCTCATTTCTTACACCAATCAGACTTTTAGGGCCTTTGCAGCCCATACTGGTTCCCAAACCACCATTGAGTTTCACCACCACCAGTTTGTTCAACACAGAAGATATATTATCAGGCAGGCCTCTGGCCTTTATCTTTTCATAGGGTTGAATCTGAAAGAAAATACAAAATTAGAGATGTCATTTAAGTAGCTTTATGAGGTGTTAATGCCAATCAACCCCAAAGTTACTTTCATGGTTCCTTAAAAAGTTTTGTTCTCTCAATGTAAAGTTCCAGCAAGTCCACATGGCAGTTTCCTTTGCACAAAGAAGTAGCTCAATGTCATATTTAGTTACAGTGAAGTCACAGTGACATCATTTGTATGACTGGCATGAATATCTAAATCTTGAATTCTCTTACGACGATATTTCTAATCTTAATCAAATATCAAATAAGATACCCAAACCTCATCAAGTCTAAATATCACAGGTGCATTATATCCTACTTCAATTCTAAACAATAAAATATTATTAATCATATTTTTTCCTATCACAGAAGGCAAAACCCAACATATATTTGTTTTTTGTCATACTTCCCCATTTAGTTGTAAAGTAACCCAGCAGAAGATGATGGTACAGGCTCTCAGTCATAATTTTAGGTATGCACAAGCATAGTTCCTTCCTCAGAAATTTAACTGTAGGACATCACTTTATAAAACCTTGTACTGGACAATTAAATGTCTTTGTTCTGAGAAATGCCCTGGGAGGGAAGGAGAGAACAAAGGCCGGGGCTGTGGAAATCCCAGTCTCACCTCTTCTCTAGCATCCTAGCTCTGTGAGCACAGGGCCTCAGCCTTGAATTTGTCCTTTAAGCATAGAAACAATACCATTTATAGGAAAGATCCACGTTTTAGCTGTTGTTCAAAGCAGAGTAACAAATCTTACATCTTGTAGCAAGAATGAAAGCTTGTTAAAAGATCACAATGTATTTTCTACCCATCTGTGACATTTTTTGTTATTTTACTTTAATAGGATAAGCCCTCAAATGGCCTCTTTAGTTCCAGCATAGTAAAAGATAGATAACATGAGTAGATGGAAAAACTTAAGCCAAGCAGTAGCTACTCTATGAGCATTTGCTATTATTGTCCTGTCATATGTAAAATGTACTTGTGTGAGTTCATTTTGATTGGGAATGGAAGGACCTGATTGGCTCACCTCTTGTGATCTAGTAGGCCTTTTAGGCCAATATCTCTGTTAGATGGACAAACTCATTACACAATTCTTGTTCTCAGATCTTTCTACAAAATACTCATTTGTAACAGTTCTTAACTGCCAAGTGTAGATGAACTCTCTCTTACTTGATGGAAACACTAAAGAATATAAAGTACTCTTCTCCCACCCAGGCTTCCTACTGAGAATCCTCCCTATCACCCATTTTGAATGATTTCTCAGTGTAGCAGGACTCTGTTTTCCTCGTAAACATTGCATAGGCTTCAGTAGCTATTCCCCTTCATGGACCAAAAGAAGGGCTCGTGACAAAAAACACTGAAGAGGCTTAAAGGCACTCTAAAGAAGAAAAAAGTGTCAATTTCAGTGTCACACCACTGTGAAAAAGACTAGACACAGAGGTGAAGCCTTCTGTGTCCTTATGTAACAGGGTGTTTATAATCCTTTCTCACACAGCTGTTGAAATCCACCAGTAAATAAGAGAACACTATGTGACACGGTGGGTAGAAGTAGTCTATTACGTTAGGAGATTTTCTTGGGCACATTTCATATTTTTATATATATATTCTAAAAAGTTAATTATTTCCAAATATTTTGTAAAGCCAGCAACTTCCATTTAGCAGTTACTTTCACTTCCCATACAAAGAACTTAGCTGAAAATCCAGTCACTACATTCATTTTAGATAAAACTGATACCTCAGAAATTATCTTATTTAATTAATGCTCTAGATATGTATTTTTAAAAATAGAATATATGAAAGCAATTTTCCACACACACAGTCTGACAGGCTTGTTTTCCAAATCTACCTTAAAACTTCAATTTGAAACATTACATATGTATATTACAGACTCACAATTGAAAGAATAAAATTTAAAAAGCATACAGCAGTAACTTGGAAATAGCCATGCACTTGTTGATGACCACATTCTTCCACCTCTCAGGTAAATCATCACGTGAACTTCTACTCTCTCACTATATTTTCACCATCTGTATCACTTATGTTTCTCTAAACATATAACTGAATCATACTATAAAATAGGTACACCATCAGCACAACACATATTGTGGTATGTTTTTCAACATTTGAATATTCTCAGGCAAAGCAGGCAAACATCTAGATGTAAGGAACAGTAAACATTCCATTTAATGGCTAGAGAGATGGCTCAGCAAGTGGTCAAGAGCACTTCCTGTTCTTCCAAAGGGCATGCATTCAATTCTCAGCACCCATATTAAGTAGCTCACAACTGCCTGTAACTCCAACTCCAGGGGATCCAACACTCTCTTCTGGCCTCCATGGGCACCAACACATACACCACACACACACACTCAGTCAAAATAGAATGTTTAAAAGGAAAAAAAATCACAATGATTTTTTTGTACAATAACAATGTTTTCAAATGTTTAAGTTAAACTTTGAAGCAGAATAACAAAACAAAAATTCAAGTTAGATATCTTTATCTTTAAGAAAATATAATTTAAGCTGGATGGTGGTGGCGCATGCCTTTAATCCCAGCACTTGGGAGGCAGAGGCAGGCAAATCTCTGTGAATACGAGACCAGCCTGGTCAATAAGAGCTAGCTAGATCCAGGACAGGCTCCAAAGCTACACAGAGAAACCCTGTCTCGAAATCCCCCCCCCCAAGTATAATTTATAGTTTTAGCTGATAGCCCTTGAAATGCAGTTAAATAATAATGTCAGGAAGGATAATAGAATTTGGATCACATCTTAATTCTGTATGCTAAGGAATTCTTTGGTACACCAATATTCCCATTAGATAAAGAACTTTAGGATCCACATTTAATCTTTAGCTATTTAATTCCATTAAGGCCCATTGTTTTTTCAAGAATGTATGCTAAAGGAATTTTTTTATTCTATAATGATGAATTAAAAACCAAACACCAATCTCACTGACTTATAATTTTTCCAGGAAGAAAAACAAAAACAAAACAAACATAAACAACTTCAAAATCATGATGTTTACGATAAATAATCTCGGATTCATATACCATAAAGTTTCTGAAGCAAAATATTTAGAGATAAAAGTTAACTACTTTCTTTACAGTAACTAAACTTCAAAACACTATACAGGGTGCAGCAATGCACTTCTGTAATGCCAGCATTCAACAGTCAGGAGGACTGCAAGTTCAAGGGTATCCGGAGCTACATAATGGAATATGTCTCAAAAGTAAAATAGCAAGGCAAAACAACAAACAAAAATTGGTTTGTAAGAACAAATTTGTTATGAATGAGTTTGTGGAAGCTAAATAAATGAAAGCATAAGTGAGAGGCTAGTAGAATGCTAGAAGAGGGAAACAGGGTACAAAGGCTTAAGCAGGTAGGATGGGCAGAAGGAGAGAGGGCAGAGAGGAGGGGAGGGGAGGGGGAGGGAAAGGGTAATTAAACCAAAAATATATGAAAAGGTCTTAAGGAAATCAGATACATGGTATACTAAATTTTTAAAAAGTTAAAAACTCTGGGGCATGGGCACTCACAACTCAAGGCAAAAAAAAAAAAAAAAAAAAAAAAAAAAAAGGTTAATATTTAATGCCTGGAGTTCTCTGTGAAGTGTTATGTCCTAAATCTGTATTAGTGATCCCTACCTGTCTTAGTAAATCTGACTCTTCAAGAAGTAAAGATCCTAATGCTGAATTTGTTTACACGAAAAGAATCTGAGAAGAGCCCTTAAAGGACAAAGAAGAAATTCGCACAGTAATGTATAGGGAGGAAAGGCCAGAAGTGTTTGAGGTTATTTTGCTGTTGGAAACCTCTAATGGAAAAGGTCTGTGACTTATGCTTCATGACTTATCCCACCTAAACTCCTCACCCCCCCCCCACACACACAAAAAAAAAAAAAAAAGAGAGAGATGCTATGCAACAAACTCAAAAACAGATGAGTCTAATAACTATTTGATTCCAAAAAGCCAGGATATTTTTGTCTGAAGTTTACTGCAGGTTTTAACTTACTAGTTTAATAGGGAGTAAGCAGAAATTTCTGTCATATAAATCATCCTGTACATAACAAAAGTGCCTTGTTCAAATAGTGTCCACACCCTTCACTAGGGGCTCACCAAGCAGTCCCACAGAGCCACAGAGCTTAGCTAAATTCAACAAGCCAGGGGTGTGGTGGTGTCAATGTTGAACACTGCTTAGCAGCAGCTGGCTACATTGGACACGCCCAGTCACAGCAACATTTTTAGACCCTTGAAGTGTAAATTCCTCAGGAGGAAGAGCCATCCTTGACATCTGTATAAGTTAGGCTATGTCTATATAACTTAGGATACAAGACATCACACAATTTGGTCTTCCGTGTTCCCTCTCGGCTTCCTCAGGAAACACACAAATACATTGAGATACAATGATTGGTGTTAGGACCCAACCCAACAGAGACTACCCTTGAGCTGCCTAATACAGCCTAAATGTACTTAGACTCAATCACTAGAGTTGGGCACTAAATGTGAACCAGCCTTAAGCTTTCAGTCCTAATTGTTAGGTCTCAAAGAAACCAGGGACTAATCTCACTCAGTACATGTGAAGTAGTTACAGAAGAGATCTTAGTCCCTTATTATCAACAAAAGGCCGGAATGTTAGTTAGGTTTCTCAAACCCAGAACAAATCTCACTCCAATACCTGTGGCTCCTCCCATCACTCCTCCCCTACCCTCTAACCCCCAAGCCTAATCCCTATGTAACAGCCATTTTGGCTATGCTAGTCTCTTGGTCTCTTGGCCCAGGCTTCCACTGCTCTTGGTCGATGGCTCCTCTCATGGTGGAGTTTAGTCTGCCAGCCATGTTCAGCCAGAACTCTTCCCTCCATTTGCCTTCTCCCTATAATAAGACTCTTCTCCATGCTTTAGGAGTAGTCATTTCCTCCTTTTATTTTATTTTCTCATTCACTAATCACTCTGATTCTCTTGTTTTCCCAGACAAGAACTCACTATTCTAAGATT